TACCCATTATGGGTCGAATGGACGTCGTGTAGTGTGCTATTGAGCCAATTTGGGCACACCACGTCGGTTTCCTCTAGATACCTATTTCAAGAAAAGTAAGATTATTTCTTGATGTTCCATCCCCATATTTATTGTTTGAGTACATGCAACAAACTTGATTCTAAAAAACGGTGTTAACGCACCAGATCCGAAAAGAAAAGTCTTACCCACAACAAAATAAACCACTCTTAGTACAACTGCATTTTACACAATCCGAGGTTTGTGTTTTACCTACGGACAGAAAGGTCTGTGATTGAAGCTGACAAATTTCGCGTATCTTGCCATCCACCATTTCACCTGGAATAAAACGGAAAGCTATGAGTAAAAGCTTGCTTCCAGATGTTCCATATAACTGGTCTCTCAACTACCATTGGGACTGGTTGAACCAAGTCCACGGGCACCACGAAATATTCTTAAAAATGTAGAAATGAAATGGACAAGTTGAGCTTCTTGGTGGCAGAAAGGAACAGTGCAAACCTCTTGGCCTGCACTTGAATGATGTGGGATAAAACCCCCCAAAAATGTTTGATTATGCCACAAAAAGATTTAAAATATTTGATACTTACTCCTCATACTACCGTAATAGCAGGAAGAATCGACATTTTGGATCAAAACTAAAGCTGCTAAAACAGCACACGCTATAATCCTCATGCTTATCGTTTAATATCGCAAAATAAACCACCTTGTAATACACAGATAAGAAATACAGATAACAGCTAAAGTCGCTTTGACTTTGTTATATATTTCAGGTTTTTAGGGGAATAATTGCTGCTGTTATCTTTGTTACTCTTTGTTATGAATTGAGATTTAAAGCGTATGGTTGCGAATAATGAAAGTGGGCATGGGTATTGAACGCAACTCACAACGAATCAGATTTGCGTTACCGCTATTCTTATTCGCAACCGTACGCAACTGGTGATCGCTATGGTTTCAGGGCCCTTTAAGACTTGAAAATGAATGTCCGAAAATCTTTCACGAGTTATTGATTTGATTTGTTCAGACGTTGTCAGATCATGGTAGGTGTCAGGAAAACTGAAGAAAATAAACGAAACAAAATCAGTACAGTTGATTTTTCTAAATGAAAATCTTCACACGTTCCGAATATATATCTGAACAGAACAATTGACAGAAAGTTGTCGGAGCATGGTTTGAGTGAAAATAATCGAAACAGAACAAGAAGTGCTGCATATTTCGTAATTTTCACACGTCTTGATTATAGTCTTAATGAACAGGGCAACTGACACAATTTTGTCAGATCATAGTATGAGTGAAGCAACTCACAGAAAGTAGAAGAAACGAAAGATGTATAGTATATCGGCCTTCAATGTCATGTCAATGGTAGATATGAAATTTCATAAAGCAGGTTTTATTTATCGTTTGATCAGCTCTTTAGATATCAATTTAAAAAGTCAAAGACTGATTGCTGTATAAATATCAAGCAATTAAGTTAATCTCCCGTTTCATTTCGACCGAGTGGTGTTTGGTATTAAGAATTATTGACAGGTATATTTGACCAGCTGTACAAATATAAAGAGCATAGATATAACCCTATTAAAATAGGAATCAAGTATACCACGTATATTGTGATTGGCATGTCAAACTGGGTTTACATTCAAGTGGGGGCGTGAGAAGAAGAGCTCTACAGAAGAGTAGCTTTACAGAAGAAAAACTACACAACGAGAACGAAGAATCAACACTCTGAAGACGAATCGGAAGACCTTCTTACTCAAGTTCTGCGATATAGATTTTTTTATTTTCCCCTACTGAAGCGGACATGATCACCAACCAGTAGTAATAGTAGCGACAGTGTTCAACAATATATTGGTTCTGTTAATTTGCTTAAGTTGGTTTAAAAATTAATCATTTGTGTTTTCAGCATTAGCGTTTTGTTCAACTCCCCTTAAGATTATGGTAATATTAAAATAGTTCCAAATATACCCAATACATTAGCGCGTACATGGAGTTTTCTATATGTAAGAAATGGTTAAAGCTGGCTTGCGAAACTTTAAGTCCCAAGACGTTTGAAAGGGTATTATAATTAATAGATAAATTTTGAAGAACATTTATTGCATACATGCATAACATTCATTGCAAATTTGAAATTTTATTTTCTTTACAAGCTGAAGCTAATGCAAAAGCGATTCATTCACATCTTCTAGCACATTACATCAGTACACGGTTTGGTAGAGTTTTCTTCATCAAAGAATTGGAAACAACAGTCGTCTAATTGAACCATGGTGCAATTTTCAACCGAGAAAACCCCGGCGTTATAACCAACTCTGAAATATAGTAATAACAATGTACATTATAGCCAATCCTAAAATAATAACAATTTACATAATTAATAACAATGATTGATTACTGAAAGTGATACCAAAATAACAGTATATATTATAACCAATCCTGAAAACTGAAAAAAAATCATAATGAGTCCTAAAAATAATAATCTATATTATAACCAATCCTAAAATAATAACAATCTACATGATAACCAATCCTAAAATAATACAATCTACATGATAACCAATCCTTAAATAATAACAATCTACATAATAACCAATCCTTAAATAATAACAACCCAATCTACATAATAACCAATCCTAAAATAATAACAATCTACTTAATAACCAATCCTAAAATAATAACTACATTATAACCAATCCAAAAATGATAACAATTTACATAATATCCAATCCTAAAATGATAACAATTTACATAATAACCAATCCTAAAATAATAACAATCTACATTATAATAATTTACGTTCCTAAGATGATAATACATCTTCATTTGCTTGGCTTTGTGGAACATATCGTGGCCATGGGTTCTAATCTGGTTCGGTGTGTTAAGGTCTGGTGAATAAGTCACCTTTCCTCATAGCCAATTCAGTTGCAAATGGGAACAGAAAAAATGGATCAATGTCAAGAGGTTTGGCCTAGGACAGACAGGACAGGACCCTTTCTTGAATTTTTTTTTTTTCATATTTTTTCTTTTTCTCTTGCACCTGACGTAACTTCACGATTGAATATCTAAACGAAATATGGAATGTAAAATATACTGAATATAATATAGTATTACCCATGGCACTGCATCGAATAAGGTCCACAATGGCATTCTTCACAATTATGTCTTCTTGTTTCTCCAACCTCGAACCTCACGTCACCATGCTCGCAATACGCCGTTACTAATCCATTGTCTAAAAAGTTAAAACATCGAAAACCACTGGCAGAAAGGGTAACCTAAGAGTGCTTGTGAAAGGGGAATCTTTTTCATTCAGTTGTGCAGAATCTGGATCATAATTTCTTTGAATGCTCATTGTTCAGGTATCAAATTTAAAAGAGACACGCATGTTTCTAAAAATTTCAACTTGGACGACCATTCATCAGACGATTTTACCCTACCCCCCATTGAGCGCATAGTAATTCATCTGCCAGAAGATGAAACTACGATATTCCGCCAAGAAAGGGAATCCCATTGGATTGAGACACAGCTAGAGCGATAGGATTAAATATTCATCATAATGCAGGCATAACACCAGGCAAAACAATCGAGCAAGTAAGATAGTCCATGCCCAAATTGCCCATTATGAGAGCCGTTAAGAGAAATCCCTCATGTCTTTAAACGAAGATGATTGTTGCATATTCAAAACAAATGACAACTTACGCCCATTAGTAAATTATGGTACTGTTTGTCAATGGACACTTTATATCAAGCCATATAGCCTTTTTGAAGTCAGAAAACATCGATCGCAATTGACCTTATTTTTCAGGACCTTCACGGTATGAAACTTACCTAGTTCAGGACCATTGGAGTATGAAATTGGCCTTATTCATGACTATTGTAGTGTGAAATTGATCGAATTCTGGTACTTAAGGTGTGAAATTGGCCTAATTCTGCATTATTTTTTTTTAATATGATTGACATTGACCTAGTTCAGAAACATCGACCCAATTCGACGTAGTAAAATTTACCTTATTGGGGATACTATGGAATTAACCGAATTCGAGACTATTGGGAGTGTGAGATTGACCTAATTGAGGACCACTGCAGAGTGGAAGTGTCCTACTCCAGGACCTCTACAGTGTGGAACAGACTTAATCTAAACCTTGAGAAATTTTTTCTTATTCCGAACCGTTTTCATGAATCGTAATCAAAACTATGTGAACTAAAGATTTAAATAATACATAATAGCATACAGTACTCCGTACATACCAAATTCGAAATGCATTTGGCCCCTGAAAGTATACCCAGAGGTCTGGTAGACTGCCAATGTTACTATCAAAGCGGCTACTGTCAATTTCAACATTGTCAACTAAAATAAAAAAAAATGAATTAGAACCGACAGTAGTACGTCGACATATGCAAAGATCGAAACCCAAAGCAATGATAATGTTATGTCTACCTATGCAAACATCAAAACCCAAAAGAACCGGAAGGGCTTTGTTGGCATATACCATGATCGAAACCCAACGCATCGGAAGTGCTATTTCCACTTATGCCAAGATCCAAACCAGAGTACCAGAAGTACTATATCGAAACCCAAAAGAATCGAAAGTTCTAGTATGACCTATGCCAAGATCAAAATCCAAGCACTGGTGGTATTATGTCGACTTATGCTTCGATCGAAACCGCATCTACTACGACTTGCAAAGTTATTGGTTAAATGAAAGAAAGATAATAACTCACTTGTTCAGGTTAATTATTTTTTCCGGAGTTTCAACACTTTTCATTCTATTTATAAAGAACTCGAGTGCGATTAGTAAATGTCCTGGCACCATCTTGAAATGACTTGTTGATTTTGGTTTCGCTTTGATAATTAATTACCCACAATTTCTTTTCAATTCAATTTAAAGAAGCCAGAATGGGGAGATCAACTTTACCATGTCAAACTGCGCACGATCCAAACAAATATCTGCATTTAAAAAATATCCGTGAAAAGGACTCTCCTGCGACAAGCGACAATGGCAACCACCACTGGCGTTTTGTACACGATTGTGGCGACCTTAACAAGCTCAGAGCCAAGTTTCCGTCAACGAAACAACGCAGTAAGGACACCTTTCCGAATTCAGCAAAATCAGATCTTAGAAAAATCTGTGGGCGGGCAACATTTTTTTACACGGGACGTCACCTTTAACAAACCCCCATGAAACCAATACATCAGTTTTAAATGAATTAATCATGTCCAAAATCATTCATAATTTCCTGGCTTTGTTTATCTCATCTCAACACTTAAACATGGTAAGAAATCGCCTCAAATAATAAATCATAGAAAATAATATATCAATTGACCCTTATTTGAATAGACCAGGCCAGGCTACAGGCCAGTTCTATCGGTTGGGGCCTGAGAAGATTTATACCTTATCATCATTTTCTACTTTATTTCTTTCGTGGGTCAATGGAAAGTCTTATTTGCTTTGTTCTGTTTTGTTTTTTTGATGAAACACAATACCTTATCAAAGTGTTTATCATAAAAAAAATATTGAAGATCATTAACCAGAAGAATGGCAAAATACGCACCTTCGAACCTTTTTTCATGCAATCAGCTTTGGCTAAATCGACTCACAATCACGTGACTGACAGTTAACGTTAGGATTTTCAAATCAAATTTTCAAATCGCTTCGCTCCCTCCGCCCACTTCTAAACCACTATATTTTTCTTGAATTGAAGGAACTGGAACATTCTTCAGGTGGATAAAAATAAATAATAACCACAAATAAAAAATATAAATGATTAGATAAGTCGAAATGGGAAATGGGTCATATTTTGATTCTAACTAAATTTTGTACTCTATTCCGCAACTGACCGACTTGAACTCTCTATTTTGCAATATTTCTTTCTCTTTCTTTATTCTTAAGAAATTGTAATTTGATATGATATGTGAAATAAACTCATATGGTTCCAAATTCTTTGACATAACAACACAAACTATAAACCCCTTGTCAGGAGCAAAAGTAAAGGCCTTATATAGATGATACCAGTGCAGTACAAATACAATACTTTTTAGTTGTCCAATATATGAGAAACTTTTTACCTATTGGAATAATCTTTGAAATGGACAAGTTGAAGAGCCAATAAGCATTGGTATTTGGTATGGTATGTTCTCGCAGGTATCTAAGAACCAAAACATTCAAATTGGACGCTATTGGTCTTGCTAACCCACCCTATGCCATTTTGCGTCATTGCTCTCCAATTTCCCTACAAACAGTATGCAGATTTCATAACAGACTGTTCTTATCTGATATTAAAAGTCGTATTTCCCATGCCCCTTTGTGTCCTTGTTCTCCAACACTTCCAAGCAAATTTAAAAGACTATTCCTTACATGAACATTCCATGCTACATTGGGTCATTGATCTCCAATTTGTCTCCATGGCATTTCAAATGACGCAAAATCAAGTTTGGCCTCTCTAGTTCTTTCTTGTGCATCATTCCACTTTGGGTGGTTATTTCTCCAATTAACCAACAGGCCAATTTCAAAGAACATTTACTATGAAAAGTACATAGCGTCTCCTAAATTACTGGTATTATTTTGTCCCATTTACTATTCTAAGCTTATGTAAACCAAACATATGTGTTACTATTGTCTCACTTCAGACAGCTCTTATCTGATCTTGTGAAAGTTTCGTGATGTTTTGGTGGAAAGGATTGGTGTTAGAGGTCACACAACTGGAACTCTTGAAGAGTATAAAAGACCCCGAGGTCCTCTCATTCTTCGATTATTAATCCACGACAGATACAAGGTAAGGAACACCTTCTAGCACTTCACACACATACAGACTTGGATATTTAGTTTCTCTTCTGGTGTCCACCACTACCAAGATCTGACAATTTTTTTTTCAACACTTTTTATGTCCTTTGTCTATTGGGGATATGGCGTAATAATTTTGGCACAAGAAAACCCACAAAATAATTAGTATTCGATGCTGTCTCTGACTATATATTTTTATTTGCAGATGTTCAAGCTTATCGTCTGTGCCTTATTTGTAGCAGCCGCCTTTGGTAAACCCCTCGATGACAGTATGTATAGAATTATTATCTCATTGCAATAATGCAATTAATCAAGAAAGGCTGAAATGTAGGTTCGCTTCCAGTGGATGCTCATATCGCAAGGCTGAAATGTAATAAAGCCCTTTGATTTATAGTTGACATGATCACTTTTAAATATAAATCCTGTCGGCAAATTGATTACAATTCAATAATCTAACCAATACAGTCAAAAGAACTAACGTTACTCCAAAATCATATTACGGTGTTTCTGACCAAGACAGGCGAAAATACGACAAGATTGGAAAATAGATACAAAGAAACGGATTAAAAATGGAGTTTGTGATTTATTTGAAATGATGGGTCTTTCCCATTGACCAGAGAACAAAATCTCAAATTACCCATTTATATTTTCTATGTACAATATTATATGTTCATTTTCCTGTTTCAGATCTTTCGAAAAGAGAAAGCATTGGACATCAACTCAAAGAACAGCTTAAGAATGTCGCTGTCTCCTCCCTCACCACTTCCGTTAGTGGTGTTCTTGACAAAGCTCTTGGAGGTAATTTGCTTTTCTTTGTTCAGCTAGAGCGAATTGCTCTACTGTAACGTTTCGAATCTTGGTACATCATTTCATGGCAATAAGGTATCATTGACAGGTTGGTCACTAAGCGCTTGGTACTATCCGCGTTGACATTGCAATGAGGAGATGAAATACAATTTTAAAAAACACTTCACCTTGGCGGTCTTATTGCTCAGACTTTCCAAAGGAAAGATTTGCCAGATTTGAAACCACTGGATTTAATATGGGTTTGATTCATTTCTAACTTTTTCAGCTTTAACCAGCAAAGCTATCGGTGGAATCACCAATCTTTTGGGACATATCCATCTCGGCAAAAGAGGTCAGTAACTTTTAGTGGTTCATTTTCTGCATCGTATTAAGATCTCTTTTGGCAAATCCGTCTAAATGGATCATCAGCAAAACCAAAAGCGCTTAAAATATACTCTTTTCTTGCCTAGGACAATCAGTCCTTAGTTAGTGTTAAGAAAATATATCTACAAAGTTGGTGGTTAAGCTTCTGCTGAGCAGCAGTGTCATTGGTTGGATTAGTGAACCGCCTTACTGACTAAATATGTAACGATCATAGTTGACTGTAGAACATGTAACGCAAAGAGCTGTATTTTCATCAGTTTGCATTTTGGCAGAGAACCACTCTGGTTTACGTTAATGAATTTCGAACATTCTCTGCATTGTAGGTATCTTCGGTGACTTTTTACACGGTGATCTCGTCAAGAATGTAGAAAACTTCATCCACAAGGAAAAAGAATGTAAGTAATGTTGCAAAGCAACCGAATAGAATTAACAGCGACATGTATATAACGCGATAAGTCAAATTCTGACGAAATCAATGCGGTATACGTGAAATGAACCAGCTCTTCGGGACGGGAGAGAATGATTCGGGTTTTGGGGAAGGCATCTTCTCCTACATGTACAATGTACATTCATGAGGTATATCTGAAGAAGCAGTTGAAGCTTACTGAGCATACTGACTTGTGACACAGTTTTCAAATTTAAAAATATCATGAACACCAATGCCCGACCTTTATAATAATCTTTTGAAAATTTGATTTCAGTGTTGAATGAACTTTTACATCACCACCAAACCAGAAGTAAGTATATTTCTCTCAAATCTGTGTTACCTTGTTTGGTAACCACGGTAGTCGAGTACTGTAGTGGCGAGTTAAGACGCTTAGTTACATGAAGACGGCATTTTCAGAAGGATTGGTAATGCAGTTTAACGAACTGTCTTATATTTGGTATCTTGGTAGTTGGTGTGAGACGTCTTTTGTGTTGCAGGCGTGACAAAATGAATATTATATGTGTACCTCGAAAAAGATACGATGACCGCCCGGGAGTAAAAATATTCGTTCAACTGTTCTTATAATCGTCCGTTCTATTTCAGATATCCTCGGTGACTTTTTACACGGTGATCTCGTCAAGAACGTAGAAAACTTCATCCACAAAGAAAAGGAATGTAAGTGTGACGCACATATTTCATAATGACAAAAATCCTGTTGTAGTTGGGGGTCTTATCAACTACTAAACCAACAGCACACAATCATCCAACTGAACCAATCCGACAACCGACTACCAACAACTACCTAGTTTGCAATATCAGCATCTGCTGGAAGCTAACGTTAACTTGTCATTTACCAACCAATCGAGGGATCTGCGGGTCACTTTTGAACTTTAGAATTTCTGGCCTTAATGATGTTTATTCCAAGATTTAAAAACCAGATATTTATATTTAATCTCTTAAAAAAAATAATCAATAAAAGCAAAAGTGTTATTGAATGTTTAAGAAAATGCCGGATACCGATCACTCGACCTTTTAATTTTTAAAAATTCATTTTTTACTTTCAGTGTTGAATGAACTTTTACACCACCATCAAACCAGAAGTAAGACTTCTCATTTCATCCTCAGAAAAAGTTTTGGCTCGAACAAATAACCCGCGTCTAAAAGAAATCATATAAAATTTGGTGTAATAACCTTATGCTATCGTATTGTTGTTCTTTAGTACTGTTTACTTGAAGAATCAAACCCTATTCATTTGACTAACGTTTGTTTTGTTGTTGTATTTTTAAGGTATCTTCGGTGACTTGTTGAAAACCGACATCGTCCAAAACGTTAAGGACTTCATCCACAAGGAAAAAGAATGTAAGTAAACTATATCAACTGCATCAAAAGCTGAACCATATTAAATTTCATATTAATTGTAAATCACAAGAATCGCGAAAAATTTTCAATCGAATTTAGAGCAGCGAAAGGAGTAATTTTTAATTGCAGAAGTGAGCAAGCTGCTACCCTTAAAATATTCGCCTCGATTGGTATGCCATTTTTCATTATGAAATACTTACTCATTTATAATCGATATACTTCCTCTTGTGAAAAGTTCATTAACTGCTACCCATGTTTCGCTAATATGTTCTGTTAATTTCGAGTTTCGTTTTGCTGTTCTGATCGTTAGTATTTGTTTTTATTTTATGTTTATACTGATATGTAAAGGTATCTTCAAAATTGGCATCAAAGTGTTATTGCACAATATCAGTCGATGGGAGTTTTTTTGTGGTATTTATCTTTTTTATGAGCGAAATAAAACGATAGAGTGGTATGTATTGGACCAAATGTACCAAATTAACTTACCTTTTCTATTTTTAGTGTTGAATGAACTTTTACATCATCACCAAACCAAAAGAAGTAAGTCATATACCTAATCATCGTCTTCGTTTATTCGACATATTATCTAAAAGTAGAAATTATTAAAACTAAGGGGATGCAATGAAATGTTTGAGCGCCAACTTCTGCTCGTAGTTCGACCAGTGAAGGGAAGCAACACCATATAATATTCAGTGAGAAGGTGTTTTATGACCAAAGCATCATGGCCATGTATTGAATTGATGTTTTTTATTTTTTACAGACATCCTTGGAGACCTTTTCAGTGGAGAACTGGTTAAGAACGTAGAAAACTTCATCCACAAGGAACAAGAATGTAAGTTGACGAATGTGGGATCATTTCATATTCTTTGGCATTATATTTCGTGAATTTGTCCCCAAAAACAATGATGCACATTCGTTGATTCACCAAAGTTCACCAAAGTTTGTATACATACACAAACGAGTTTGTTAAGCAAGACAACATACGCCCGTGGCAGTAGTTAAAAAGATGATTCAAATTGTTAATGTTTAAATCAATATGTTTATCAATCTATAATATATACTTAACTATACATCCAAGTATTAAAACAATGAACGTAGGTAGTATTCACTTTTTGGACAATGGTCATGAACGCCTTTCAGTTACATTTTCTAGATTCTTTTAGTGTGCATGCTCTTGTAAGGAACAACAGCTAGGTGTAGCGGCACTAGTAACAATTCCGTGCAAAACTAATGATAGTGATAGATTGCTTTAAGGATTTACAAATTTGATATACCAAATACCTTTTCGGCTACTTGGTATATGAACATATATGATTTTCGCCTTATGATGAGGGCCAACTAAACAGGTCTCCTTTAGTAAGATAAGCAAAATATATTCACTATTTCAGTGTTGGGCCAATTTTTACACCACAAACAAACCAGAAGTAAGTATTTCAGTCCTCTAATTTTTTACAGTATCAAACGTAAAGTCGCTTAGATGAGATCGGATATAACATAGTGTCCCCTTAAAGTCTGTTAGTCGTCTCGATTAGCTCAGATACGTGCAAAATACAAGATAAAACAACATTTGTTGTCGGAAAGTGTTTTGGACTTTCAACATGACCTTTGTGATATGAATTAGTTCTCTAGCTAAATGGGACCGGTCATGAAGTTCGACCTTCCCCGTTATTTAGCACGTCGTACAAGAGTAATAGCCAGTCCTCTTATGATACTACATGTATGTTGAATTCTCTTTAAGATATCTTTGGTGACATCTTAAAAACCGACATCGTCCAGAACGTAAAAGACTTCATCCACAAGGAAAAAGAATGTAAGTAACAATACACCTAAACTTCATAAGACCTGGGATGTCCCTATTACATAATACATGGAATAATACGATCATTATATAATGAAGCAAAGGCTTATCAGAGTTTAAGATCGCCTTCTGCAGCCGAACACATTTCTGTTTATGAGGCTGAACAACCATGTGTCGATTTAGCTCATATCATAGTTGATTTATTAATATGATGTGTAGATTGTGGTAGTGGTAGTATACACAATACAACGCTTTGGACTCATTCCAAGTAAATGCATTTCAATTCCAGTATTGAATGAACTTTTACATCACCACCAAACAACCAGAAGTACCGGAAGTGAATTGAGAGAAGCTCTTAAAGGCGCCCTTGTTAGCTCTGCTACTGGAGCCATCAACACCGTTGTTAACACTGCTATCTCAGGTATGAGTAACACATACTTATAAAAAATCTTAATTGGGGACTAAATTAACGAACTTCTGCTAGTCACTTTCCATGGCTACATTTAAAATTTGTTACTGTAGTTAGAGAAATATTTGAGGCTATTGGTGACAATAATCTTGAATATCTAGCCATTTTGTATACGTCTGAGTGAAATGTAGATCTGGACGTGGTTATTCACATAAGTCAGTGTTTGACAATGAATATCTTAGAATTCATCACATATAGCAATGACATCTCTTATGCAACAGAACAATGGTTTTGTTGAATATAATACGACCCGCAAGTGAACAAAGAGATGCATTATGATCATCGAGGGCAACTTCCAGATTTATAATTTGATTAGCTTACTTCATAAGCTTGGGCGAATGGGTTTAGGTAGATGCAGATCAATAGTTCGCGGAAGAACATGGAAGGTTGATCTACCAGCTTATCTGTTATAAAAGTGGGAAAATTGAGTTTATAACAAATCTTGAGATCTAAGTATTTTTTTTACAATCGACTTATCATTTAATATTTTGGCTGAAAATACATGTTACATCTTTTAACATTTTCAGGCTTAACCAGTGCTTTGACCAGTGGTCTCACCAACGTCTTGGGACACATTCACTTGGGAAAGAGAGATTTGGCCTTTGCCAAGGGTAGGTGCTTTTATCATTCTTCGAGAATATCATTTAATGGTTATCTTCATGAGCTGAAATTTTATTCTTAAAATATTTTTTATCCTATTTTCAGACATCGCTGAATTCGAACACAATTTGAAAAATGATTTGTTTGGAAAAGTTCATTCCCTGATCGAAAAGGAAAAACAACGTAAGTTCCCGCCTATACATATTTGTTCATTACATAATGTATATTGTATCTTGGATACTTTGACTCTGTTACTGCTGTTTGGAAATGCGTTTGATCATTCGGATGGACACAAGTGGCATGTGCTGCAGACAGTGTACTTTAAAATCGGTCGACAGCTGGAAAGAGAACTATCGCCACTATCCTGAATAAACGACCGTCCTATCACACATCATAGAGTTGTCCAATCTACGATATGAACCTAGGCTCTTGAATCCTGAAAAGTATCGAAGAGACAGCTAATGATATACATGTACCTTTCGTTGTTTTTCAGACATCATCGATGAAGTTTTACACCATCACCACATTGGTAAGGATCATATAAATACATCAATTTTGCTGAGTTCTTAAGGGTCGTCAGCTGCGACAATGGACCCAAAGGATTTCTTGATGAATCCCCCTGATAGCCCACTACAACTACCTTTTTCTTTTCATGTCTGAGATAAAGCTTAAAATAGAATAATTTTGGTAGTTTTAAAAATCCCATTCTCAATGTAATTTCCTTCCAGCCCGAAGAAACATCTTCGGAGATATTGGTAAAATGATCGGCGGTGAACTCAAACACATTGGTGAAGGTGCTTTGGGAAGTCTTGGACAACGTAAGTATTTTGAATGAAGCTTTGAACTGCGCGAAAAAACTACCGGATTTAAAATTGCTCCACCGGATGCCAGAAAATATTGCTCAGAAGATAATGAACAGTCCTTTATCTTTTTCGCCCATGGTTCAGTAACCATAACCTTTTCCATTTCAGTCGCTACAAGCAAACTTGATGGACTCATCTCCAAACTTGGAAGACGTGAAGCTGAAGGTAAGCCACGTCCTCTCACATTGCAATCATCCAACCTGCCTTAGACTTTCTATCATCCAATTTGCTTTGGAATGACAACTGCACCTAATCAGTCTTTGCTGCATCGACAAACAGCTCCAACCAGTGGTTCTTTGTGGGTGTTCCGTACCACTGAGCCCAAGATAAAACTGGTTATGTTCGGAACAACTTCTATGCCAGAAATCAATCCTAAGAAGCCAATAACAAAAAAAAATCAGACTTCTGTCAGCCAGCTTACCATTGCCCTAACCTTTGCAGTGAATTGACCATGATAACAGTTCCCACGTTAAAGGCATTGTGCTTCTTTTTTCAGATTTAAGCACTGTCTTCGGTGGTGTTGCTGATAAATTTAGCACTGCTATCACTGATGCTTTAGGAGAATTACCACAAATCATTGCCCAAGGTTAGTATTATATATCAGATTGTCTAAAAGTTGATCTCATACGACTGTTAACATTTTGAAACATCTGTTAGATACTGTCGAAAGATGCTCAAATTGATAATTTTATGTGTTGAAATCTCGAAAATATAACCTATAAGTACAAGCTTCATGCTTGATGGGTGTCACAAAGGAAACACTTCAGGTTCACTCTTGAAAAACATTTAAGGCAATGTACCAAAGTTGGTAATTGAACCCAAAAAAATCTTCTGCTTTTGTTTAAACAATTTCTTCTGTTTTTTTTTTCAGAATTAGGTCCATTAATCGCTCAATTCACTGGATCCCAATAAGATGGAACAGAAAATAGTGAAAAATTAAATAAAAAACATAAAAATATTTTTTTGTTTTATATCTTATCAGAGGCAAACGCCCAAAGATAATCTAAGACTGGAAGAATCTTCCCACTTCATCATAAGCCTTCGTGCGGCGAGTCATGTGTAACAACATGACAACTTGCTGTGACCTCGATGCTAATCAAAACTAGTCTTTATGGCATTTGGAAGGGGGAAGGACATAGCGAAATGATCAGATAATGACATAAACACAATGGCTAAACTGGAGTAAATTTAAATAGAACCCCTCAGATCAGATCTTGCAGCTATTGCAATTCCCCCGTGGAATAATCACTCTACCTCTAGTACCTGATTTACCATTTAATCAGAGTATCGTAAAATCGTACGTATCATCAACAGACATAAGCATTAATATCAAGTTACCATAATACCCTGACAAAAAACTGCAACATCCATTGCTTTCACAAGCAGAAGACAACTAGCTGACAGGGGCAAAAACAATATACGTCCACATTATAACGAGGATGAATACATTACAATTACCATCTACCACAATTACCAACAACTACCTAGTTTGCGGTATCAGCCTCTGTTGGATACGGACGTCAACCAATAACTTTAAACTTATTCTTAAATTTTCAAATTCTCAAGAACTCATCTCAGACAGTCGACACGTGTCTCAGATATGATATTATACATTTCAAGGGCAATAACTCAACAGTCTTCATCAAAACTCTCGAATATCTTACTTTTCCGAGGTCTCAACAACATACATACATACAAGCTTCATCGAAATCTTATTAAAAATGTGGCCTTGTCTGGTTATGCCATATCACTGACCTGGAATCATGTCATTTATGATAATATAAAATAAAGGCCAATAGAAACTTTACCAAGGCTTGAAAAAAACACAAAATAAATGGAAATGTTTTTAAGCAGATAGGTCAACGAAATCAGCACATCAAATGACAAATGTATAGCTTCCGGCTATAGTCGCACAAAGTGAGATGATGTACAAAAAAACGGGCTATTATGTATGCATGTATGTACCAATATCATTCCCATTAGTAGTGTATGTGACCACCAAGAGCCTTAACACAGGAGGCAAATACTCACAGAAACACAAAAAATTTAATCAGATTAAATCAGTGGGATAAATAATCATTCCTCCTAGGATGCTGACGAACACGACGATCCATGATGCCCCAGAGTGGACATGACAGGGGGGGGGGGGGGCGTGGGGTCCATGGCAACACATTGATATTGGTGACTCCAAAGAAGATGTATGGGGTCTGTCGTGGTCATGTGGATAAATGACACCATGTTACTGTTGTTGGAGAAATGGTAAGACTGTCGGACTAAGAATGTCATCGATGTAACGCTGGGTTGTCAAGATGTCACTAACGATAACTAGTGGAGTCCTCTCCTGCCAAGAGATCCCTCCCCACACAATGATATTCTCTCGTACCACCTCTTGAACGCAACATGCCGCTGACTGTTCACTCCTTCGGCGATAAACTCTCTCTGCCTCTCATCATCTCTGAACATACAGAACCGACTGATGCGGAACAAGTCTGGTCGTTTTCATCGCCGTACAAGGTGGGCTCATCCTAACCTGACGATGATGTTATGCTGTCAATGGCTGTCCTAAATACTGTCTGTAAGCCCCGATTCCTTGACTTCGGAGCCGCCTGGACATGGTCCGTCGAGTAACTCTGTGATCTAACGCATCAGCGCGCTAATTACGTAGCGTGAAAAAAAACCCTGGTGATATGGATTTGTCTTTTAATTTTTTCTATTTAATGAAGATAATGTTTGCAATGCAATTCGACAGCATGGAATTTTGACATTTTGGCATTACGATGAGTACACAGATGTGGAACTGTGTCAGCTGAAGTAGAGCTAAAGCCAATTTTTGACGAAATGATAAGATAAGGTCCGTGCCAGTTTTTCTATGTTATGTAAATAAACCAGATGTTTTGGACTGATAATCAAAGTCACAACAATCATCACGACCAAGTATAAATAGCTGGTTAGACTGACACTCCTCGATTCTGTTTTCAAATCCATAGAAAGAGAAGGTAGGCACAGTGAACCTCGTTACTTATTGTCAATTTTCAAAGCAGTACGTTTGCATTGGACTTGAAGAACACGTGTTGGCATGTTACCTAGATCAAGCAACTTGCAGTATCACCTACGTCTTGTTTGAGCTACACATTTATTGCTCCCGATTTTTGTCATGTTTTGAACGAGATTTTTGGTTAACGAAGTTGTTTTGCTTGTGCGGATATTTATTCATACCTGCAGTTGATTAAATTTATCAGTTTGCTCCTTCAAAGAAGTCCTTCTTATTTTGCCCATTCTACGTAACAGCATCACCATTCTTCATCTTTCGTGAAGTTAAAGCACTAATTGTTTTTCTTGTAGATGTTGAAACTTGTCCTGTGTGCATTGTTTGCTACTGCAGCTATTGCTGCTCCACAAGGTAACAAAGTTCATATACTTGGTAAAAGAAAAAAACTGAGAAATACGACAAATTTGACTTTATTTTCCAAGCAAACAGCCTTTGAAAATCATATTTTCGCAAAAATGTTGCTCAGAAAAAGAATATGCATATTTTCATGAGAAGAAGGAAGCTACCATTTTTCACAAGGATAACAACCATACTGGTCTGGTCCCTGGCTACTTGCATATATCTATCCCCGATTCTCCATACCCATTTATTGTTCGGTCGTCTAAAATAATGAGTTACAGATGACTGAAACAAGCTCTGTTCAATCAGAAATATATTTTGGTAGCTAGTCCGGACGTCCATCAGTAGATCTTTCCACATAACAAATATTTTTCAATTTTCTCAAATAGAGAGAGGTATCTGGGGAACCGTTGCTAAAGATTTAGCTAAAGAAGCAGCAAAGACTGCTATTGCAAGTAAGTATTAGCATTCGTTTGATGTAATTGATTTTAACGTACGATAACTCTTGATAATGATGATGGCACTCCTACAACTTGAACGCTCCAACCTACTAACTTCTAGGCTATATAACCAAAATTTATGTATAAGTTTAGGGATAGAAAACATCATCATGAAGTTCTGAATAGTGATTCAGATTGCAGTTCATTGTGTAACAAAGCAAAGTATTTATGGTTCTGTTTTTATTTTTGCAGATGAAATCGCACATGGAATCGGTAAGTACATACCGGGTCATACATACCTATTTATTTCTTCAATATTGCAATTGCTGCTTCACATTGTACATTTTCGGTGACGCATGACAAAGAACAATTGTTACATCATGAGCGGCTAAAGAACGACGTACGAAGAAGGAAGACTATCTTTTAAAATTGACTTAAAATTTAAATACTTAAAGATTTAGGAATCAGAATATTATGTACTGATTCATTTTTTCGAATTTTATTTCAGAAAGTGGGGTTCACTATGTCGGCAATAAATTAGGTAAGATTAAGAAAACAATTTGTCCTGATTTTGGAAGGTCATGATATTTTGTCAAATCTTGAGATGAGGGCAGAGGTCCTCATCAAGTCCGAAATTGTCCTTACCATAATATATCGTGTCTTGTAGGACGAAGAGGTATCTGGGGAACTGTTGCTAAAGATTTAGCCAAGGAAGCTGCCAAGACCGCCATTGCCAGTAAGTATTGCAGTCACAGATACTGCTCCTTGATATTTTTAGCACATGAAGATGGTGTCAAAAAAACATCTAGAATTATTCAATAAAAGCAGGGAGAAAGAGTTCACTTTCTATCTCATTATAAAAGCTCTCAGAGATTTGGCAGATATATGAAGAATCCACTTGCTCATTTACATTCTGGGCGCCATAGACCAATTAAATAACACCTGGTCCAAATTAAGCTTTTAAACATTATTATGAAGATCTGAATGATGATCTCAATTGTAGTTTCTAATGTAATGTTTAACGAAACAAAACAATAATGTCTTTGTATTTATTTTTGCAGATGAAATCGCACATGGGATCGGTAAGTGGAAAGCACATTCGTCTCTTCACTATTACAATTACAATCCATGCTGCTTCTAATAACAGTGTACATTACCCATGACAAAAGAACGTCATTTCTTTAAATATAGAGCTGTGTTGAAGAAAATAGAAGGACTAGTCATAGTTGGTATCAGCTTCACGTAAGAATCTATCAATATCATGGGATAGTAAATTAACATCTTTTCTTTAAATATATACCTGCGATATCGTTTTAGAATCCACGTATCGGGTATTGATTCTTTCATTTGCTCATTTCATTTCAGAAAGTGGAGCTCACTATATCGGCAGTAAATTAGGTAAGATTATGGATATAGAATAACTTGTTTGGAGCTTGCACTTTCGCTATCTGGTTGTATGCTTTGCAATGTTATTGGGCAGTTGCATTTATTACGAGCACATTGACTTAATCAAATCGAAAACAGTAGATCAGTTATCATTACTATTTAGAAATAAATTCCACACAGCATGCTGCTCAATCTATGGCCATCAGCATAGACTAGATTTTTCAGTGCTTCTTAGCAGGGGAGGAATGATCTCACTGAGGTTGAGAAGAACTAGACTAGAATATAATATGCAAAGCAATAGAGCGCAAATATTTACCATTTTAAATCATTTCCTTAGATACGAATTATATTCTGTTTTTACTATTTTTAATTCGGTGTCAAAATATGACGTACAAAAAATTGCAAAACCTATCGATGCGTTTTGGTATACGTTTCGACCGAGTCGACGTATCCATGGCAAGTCAAATGTCAAAAATTGCAAAACTTATCAATGCCTTTTTGGTATTAGACTAGTCAAATGTCAATAAGGGCGGTTTTCAAAGAAGAGGACAAAGGCTCTTCTGCTAGAAGTCGCCCTATACGTTGATTTTCGTTTTTGCATCCGATTACAGGAAAGAGAGGTATCTGGGGAACCGTTGCTAAGGATTTAGCTAAAGAAGCTGCCAAGACCGCCATTGCAAGTAAGTGATATACTGATTAATAAATATTTATGGGAAAAGGGTAATAACTCTGTTTCCAATTGCAGGAAAGTTCTAAAATGTGACCATTTTATGACTGGATGTAGTTGTACATTCTAGGGTTCATTCGGTTGAATGGAAAGGATAATATACGCATATATATTAATATTAAAGCAGAAAAGCTCTCGAACATTCCTAACACGAAAATTGGGTTTGATTCTCTCAAATGTACAGACCTCCCTTTGTATCTTAACAGTTTTTGGAAATAACAAAAATCGAACAATTTGCCAAATATTTCGTGGCGTTGTATCGTTTTCTTCTGAAAAGGTTGCATGAAAATTGTTTTATGAAAACGAGTTACTAAGCAAAGGATAATTTACATCTGAAGTGTATCAACTAACAAGGACGAATGAAACGTTTCTCACGCACACAGTCCGTGCGTTTATACGTTTGGGCGAGTAAAATTATAGGGAACCTTTACGTAAAACATGCATTAGGCATCGCGCAAACTCACAGGTCACGTGAATCAAATCATGAGAGGAAACTATTACGCCAGCCAATTAGAACCCTTCAGATTTACAGCGGGACAAGTTCGTTTCATTCAAAATTATGGCCAATTTAAACTTTTTTGCTGCGGTTCGTTCCATTTTTTTTCCTTTCCTCTTTTACTTGACCACTCAACGTAATTATTTTTTTCTATTTTTTAGATGAAATCGCTAGCGGAATAGGTAAGATATATTTCAGTTACAATCTCTTTTTTATGATTTGGTCACCACCTTCAGGAGTACCGTTCGGCGGTATATTTCCTTGTATAGTGCGCAGTTTCATTAATAAATAATAGCCATTTTTTAAGTCAAAAATGTGAATAATGATTTTTGTTTGTTTTTGTTTTTCTCAGAACATGGAGTCCACAAAATCTTTGGTACGTTTTTTTATATCCTTATCAAATCATTTATTAATTAATATTTAATTACATTTAATCAAATTGTTCTTCAATAACCAAAAACATAAACAGCCAAGTCCTAACCGTTAATACCACAGGCAAAAAATTAAAAAATGCATAACACAAGTCTACATAGTGGTCATAAAAATCCAGATCAACTTTTTTTTATGCGTTGCCTATATTTTATGGGAAGAACATCTTTAGGACCAATTCCACCTAAAAAAAATAAATAACCTTTTTGTAGGAAGAGGTATCTGGGGAACCGTTGCTAAAGATATAGCCAAGGAAGCTGCCAAGACCGCCATTGCCAGTAAGTATAGCAGGTTTTGTGAGATGTTGCCATTGAAAAAGCCTTTTGGACAACTTCTATACAGAACGTCCGTACTACTCTGCAACATCCCACGAATGTCAACTGGAAGCAACTGCAGTAGTGTCGGGGTTTAAATATACACAAATTAAAATCCAAAACGCATCAATCATTGGATGAATAAACTTGGACAGCCAATTGAAATCCACCAGATTTAAAGCGGAAGTTCTTGTTATTCAATTCAAAGCCGTTTTGGTTTAGTTCGTGCCTTTTTTATTTTCTTGATTTTAAATGTTATTTCTTTATCTTTTAGATGAAATCGCTCACGGTGTTGGTAAGATATAACTTTATTGTCACTTATTTGCTTCCATATATTTCCTTTATGACAAAATAATTTACGGCACAAATCCTATCTCTGTATAAAGTATATATAAAGTATATTTGCGTGTATAATGCGCAGATTTTTTTTTTGCTTGTCAAACTAAGAGGTGTGCAAATATTCTTGGAACTTTCACACAAGGTCCCTTATCAATACTGCCATTCTTTAAGCTTTTTTTTAAGCTTTACGACGGTTAAGTTCTGTTTTATTTTTACGATTCCAAATCACTATTCCACCCGATACGTCATTAATCAATCAAAGCCCGAATCCGTAATTCATGGCTTTTCAAGTTAGAAATGTGAATAAGGATTTTCTTTTTTTTTTAGAAAGTGGAATCCACAAAATCTTTGGTAGGTTTAATTATAATTTTTTTTTATTGCATTCATTCATAGATTAATTCATTTCATGGTGGGTATTGGTTATATTTCGGGAAGGAAGGGTTCTATGAAGTTGCGTCTAAAAATGGGTTGTTTGCTAATGCTGCTAAGGTCTTAAAAGTCTAAAGCATACGTAGGTCCTTAAAATGTGATAAAAGGCCAAAGGGACGTAACCAATTTGTCATAAAAGTGCAGTTAACCCTTTTTGTGTGTTTAAAGGTCCACTTCCATATCGACTTTCTTGTAGGACGAAGAGGTATCTGGGGAACTGTTGCTAAAGATATAGCAAAGGAAGCTGCCAAGACCGCCATTGGTGGTAAGTATTGGGTATGATTTCTGGGTGAAATCTTGATGTGTTATAAATTGTTTTAACAACCAAGAAACAGAGAGTCTGCACTGAAATGTAAAGTAGAGTCTGTTTTTGGACATCTCGAAATCGTTTCCCGTTAGCCTGGGGGTTTAAAAACATACAAGTGCTCAAACGCATGTTAATAGTATAGCTCTGTCGAGTGGAGTGCATAATCTTCCAGAAAGGGAGAATTTTATACAACTACTGCTGGAACATCACAACCCCCTCCCCCCCCAACCCCCCCCCCCCCCTCACTAGAATATTTCTGACCATGGTATTCCAGGATAAGGAAACCCGTTAAAAAATAATTTTGCTTTTTTCAGGCGAAATCGCTAGTGGAATAGGTAAGTACAGTTTAATCTCTTTCTTGTCATTCGGACGGCAACTGTCGAGGCTGAATTCGAAATGCGTCAGCTCTGTTGAGGAATCAAAGTGCCAAGCCTCTCATTGAGCGTCTAAAGGGATCCCCCCTCCTGTGCACCCACTATTCAAGATTATATTTATAAGCACATTGCTTGTCCATCGTCTCCAGCAGTGTAATGTATATAAGACAAATATTCATGATGCCACGAAACCGGTCACTCAACACGCGAAACGACCAGGAACGGGCAACACCACTGCAAGTTATTCGTCGTCATATACATTTTTTATGATTTTTGTCATATTCTGATCGACTAAATATGTTTATTTTCATTTCAGAAAAAGCTGGACACTACGCCGTTGATAAAATTCGACACCTTTTCGGTAAGCAACTATAATGCTCACTGTGAATTTTTGCTTGCAAATTGTGCCCTTGTCTGTGCAGAGCGTTATGGATTCATTTCAGAACATGTATTTCATCTGAGGGTGATTTTAATATTTTTTTGAATGTATTTCTGATAATTAATTTTAATTTTTCAGGTTAAACGCATAAAGAATGATCAGAAATAAAGGTTTATTTATGTAATCACTTGATAAATTATTGAACGGGGTCAACAAATCCTCTCCCTGGCTATCCCCGCCCCACTCCTTCATTAAAACGAAACCTTATTGAGATAAATTGAGCATTGCTGGAATAGAACCATAGACATTCGGGTTACCTCGATCGTGTCTCCAACACGTTAGAAACTATCATATATTTCTACTGTGTTTCACTGTAGAAGGTAAACCGTATAATCCGGATTCAGTTAATAAAAATTCATGATGTCACGTGATTTTACAAATCAGCCAATTAACACGCTTCCCCATAGGGCGCTGTGTAAATATGAACACACGCTACCCCTATCGTATATTAAGAATAGTTGTATTATCAATAATACATGAAATTTGGATAAAGTGAACCATGGTCCACCTCTTTATTGAAAGGGGGAGGAGGTTTAAACTCAGCTAAAGCTAAATAAAGCAAGATCCGAGTTTTCAGCAACTGGTTTGATTTTACATTTACATGATATATATTAACTTTATTAAGCCAAACAATATGATCACAAAAGCGGACATCGCATAAACGATTAACCTAAGAATATATGTGGTTTGCGGCCTTTGCTTTCGAGACCTGTGACCTTAAACAACGAGCCTGCTAGATCGTCTGTTACATTTATATGACCGGTAGTGACGTAGAGTTCGTCATAGTTATCGCCACCCCAAGCACAAGATGCTATTTGACTTGTTGGTAGCTTGATCCTCGATATTTCTTTACCTAAAAAAACATTACAAAACACAGTACAGATATCGGGGATCGATGACAAAATGACCACTACGTTATGTCTGTTAAAAAGGCGAAATTTTGATGGCGGTACATGGTTTTTTTTTTTAAGTTTTAGCACAACATTTCGATTCTATTATAAACGAGGTAAGCTCAGTTTCCTTTGAAGAACTTTGTGTCGATGAATAAAAAAAACTGTTGTCCAATACAAACCTGTGGTCGTATCATAACGTACAACACAACTACCTTCATAAAAAGCTAACCAGATATTTTCATGAATATCCGAGGTCATACCATCCGGATAACCCAAAGATTCTGGGCATTTGACCAACACTTTTTTGTTACCTGAATACAAAAAAGAGATTGTAGCGTTCTTTCACTTTTAGCAAAGGGGGTGGTTGAACAGTAAAACTAATTTCATCCAAATGGTATCCGCGATAATGAGGTCAAAATATGTGTTGTGGATTTACAAGAACTAAAAACGTAATACGAGAAACTCGCTGTTTTCCACAAAGAAAACCACTGTGGAGTCACATAAAAAAAAATTCTCACAAGTGATCAGGAAGATGAAAGCAAGAACCTTAAAAGTTTTAATTGACGGCTACAACCAGAGAAATTATGTGAATCATTAACATCCGAATCCAGAAGGACAAGTAAAACATCTGATGACAAGCGAGTACTGGAAACAATAACTTACTTAGATTTCCAGATTCCAGATCAAAATCAAAGGCCCAGACCTCTCGCGTTATGGTATCAGTATAAAACATTTTGGTATTATTATTTGTCCATGTTATACCATTGGAGATGGTTATTTTGTCCAAGTGGCGTCGAACCTTCAAATCCTTTTCTAGCGTATACAAAAAGGCTGTTTCCATTTCCGGAAAGACTGGTTTCTCCATATACCCCATTGTTCCTGAAATGTTGGGAAGCATTTATTGCTATATATATTCTGGGTCTGGTGACTTTCTCATCATCTCAGCTCCCGCTCCCGCTGTTTTCAACGACTATAATTTAAGCTCGTGGATTATTTGGATTGACTCATAGGAAAAGATGATAGTTGCTAAAACCCGTGACAGCCACTTTCGGAGAATTCACAAAACTTTAATGCTTATATTGTATTCTTCGCAGTAAGAAGCCTCTCCAACGCATTTCGTCTTTAAAACAGTTTCTTGTCCTTTTACAAAAAAGTATTAAAGGCTGCATCAACTCGACCAATTCAGAAGTTCTTAACTAAAAAGCAACAGATTACCTGCCCAAAGCCTGCCAGAAGCATCACATTTTCCATCATTGAATTGATTCCTTGTACCTTGGTCAACACTGGCGAGGTGCGTCAGCTGTCCGGTCTCCCAGTTTAAATGAGATAAGTTCAAAACATTGGCAATAACATAACCTCCACTCTGCCTTGGGACGATAAGTGATGTAGGTGCATCTGTAAAATAAGTTCACGATTAGCTGATATAATTTCTGGACAAGAGGTCTCGCCTGTCTAACGAAATCTTTTATGTTATTGTTTGCAGGACCCTTAAGGACCACGAATGAAGGGAATTACATAAAAGAATGAGACAAGCATTAAATACAAGGTAATATCTGAGGTTCACGAGGATCCCGTCTACCAACTGTTCCTTAGCCAGACCTCTTGGCACTTGTCCTTCCTGGATATGACAAAATTCATGATATCAAAAGTTTCTGATATGAAAAACTGTTCAAATCATGTTGCTTACAGTATGTTGCGACTGCACGAAATACATAGTCGGGACAGAATTACTGGTCGTCGTACCAGACGTCCTTTCTTGGAAAAGAGACGACGGTAACAAGGTAAACCAGACAATTTCCAGGTCGCATACGGTTGTGCTGTACCATCTGAACCTAAGCTACCGGTAGTGTGCCTGAATATGAATATGCACGAAAAGATCACTAATTATTTTAGTGTCTCGTCAACGCAAAACCATAGGGAAAAGCTCGGTGATGTGTTATACCTACTGAACCCGATATGGTTAGTGAGTAGGATTTGCATACATGAAAATGAAGACCGGTAAAAACTACCCAGAGAAAGTTCGGATTTAACCTTGGCTAATGGTTACTGAGGACGATAATGCATACACAGAAAAGGAACACAAACTAAAGCTTACCATAGTGACGCATCTCATCTATCTTGGTCAAAGTGTTGTACCTGTGAATGTTACCAGCTAGTATGTCAAGGTGCAGTAACATCTTAGTAGCTTCGTCATAATGAGGACCTTCCCCAACTGTAGTGGCTATGTTTTTCAGCACTGTTTCAACTTGATAAGGAGCCATGCTTGATTTTTTTTGTACTGTTAAAGCTAAATGATATAAGAAGAAAACGGAATAAGTGTGAATAACTGATGAAATCTACCCAAATTGCGATGTGACATAAAAAACAAAAAGAGGTAGACACAAGAATATTAAATGATGCCGATGCTATCACAGTAGGGTCTCCTTGGGTTTTGCTAAATGACAAGCTTTAATTGGTTGAACATAACTTCATTAGAACTGTACTATGAAGGAAGGCGCGTTAGATTACAATGGGGACTAAAATTTGACAAAAAACAAAAAAGAAACGAAATTTAAATCACTGATAGGTAAAGTGCTTATTTGGCAGAATTAGAAATTCAGAAATATGCATATAATATACGAACAAGCCATTACTGTAGTGTTGATATGAGAAAAATTAACTTACCACCTAACACCGTATGCAACCTCCGATCTGTCGATTAATCTATTTGTCATTTGTCCTTGAACCACAGTTACCCAACGTTGACAAAAAAAAATATGCAAGATAAAAATCGGCTAATCTATATGAGTGTGTATACGACGTATGGAAAGTTACCTGACGATAAATAATAAAAACTAAATATAAAGAAATGCTAAATGTTTTTATTTCTGATTAAAATGCTGCTGATAGTACTTAGAATTTCACCAGGACTCCTTATAGACGGACCTAGTCCTTAATCAGTTATATAGCATATCCTTTTTAACCCACGACCATTTTCTCACTGGTTGGCTAGAAATAAAGATTACCGGCTGATACAACAGCAGCAGTTAAGTGAACACGCCAAAAATGTGCGTACCTGAACATGAACCTATGTGAATCGACAACGTGAAACGACCAGGTACGAGCAACATCACTGCAAGTTATTCGTCGTCAGATACAATTTTTTTATGGTTTTTGTCATATTCTGATCGACTAAATATGGTTACTTTCATTTCAGAAAAAAGCCGGACACTACATCGTTGATAAAATTCGACACCTTTTCGGTAAGCAACTATAATGTGAATTTTTGCTTGCAAATTGTGCCCTTGTCTGTCCAGAGCGTTATGGATTCATTTCAGAACATGTATTTCATCTGACGGTGGTTTTAATATTTTTTTGAATCTATTTCTGATAATTAATTTTAATTTTTCAGGTTAAATGCATAAAGAATGATCAGAAATAAAGGTTTATTTATGTAATCACTTGATAAATTATTGAACGGAGTCAACAAATCCTCTCCATGGCTTCAACTATCCCCGCCCCACTCTTTCATTAAAACGAAACCTTATTGAGCATTGCTGGAATAGAACCATAGACATTCGGGTTACCTCGATCGTGTCTCCAACACGTTAGAAACTATCATATATTTCTACTGTGTTTCACCGTATAATGCGGATTCAGTTAATTCATGATGTCACGTGATTTTACAAATCGGCCAATTAACACGCTTCCCCATAGGGCGTTGTGCACATATGAACACACGCTACCACCTATAGTATATTAAGAATAGTTTATTATAATTAGTAGTACTAGAGCTTACAGATTGAACGCACGGGGATTCCTCCATTCCATTTCATTCCATGGGGAAAGTGCGTCCAATCTGTAAGCTCCAAAAAAAACCTAAACTACATTCCAGCAATTCCCTCCCAAAAAAAGACCTATACACCCTTAAATTCTTACATTTCATACACCAAAAACACCTTCAATCAATTTCCTACATTCCATCAAAAAAGCATACCCTTATATAAAATAACATAACATTTTTAATAGCCTCGTTTTAAGTAATGTTATTTTTAGTCTAAAAGGGAGATAACTCTTTTTTTTGGAAAAACAATTTTCTACTAAATTTTTAAACCTTAAAAATGGCAAATAAAATATTAGATCCAATCTTTAAATTATACGATCCGATTCGTTATTCATTTAACATGAAAAAAGAGGATTATATTATCATGGAAGCTGGTTCAAATCCGATAGAAACAATTAAACATCCTGGGGAATTCGACACAATGTTGAAAACAGTTTTATATCCCAAAGATTTCAATTCAGTCTCAGGTTGGATACCCGATGATGGCGATGGAAGTGTTTTAAAAGAACCGGTAAGAAATCTTGCAAATGATGCTGATTTAGCTAGAGTGAGAGTTTTTGCTCGAAACACAATAGCAAAAGTAGCACGAGCAGCTAATCATGGATTCGAAAAACGAGTACTTCAGTATAATAATGTTGTTGAGAATAATAGTTGGGGTAATTACGTAAATTGGAAATTATATCCTTTATTCGGTCTGTTGGAACATAGAAAAGTTTCCATATAAAATTCATCTACAAAGAGAAATCAACGATGATAAGATATTCTTTGGAGAGAATGGTTCAGATGCAAAATTAGAAATAACGAATCTCCAACTTTTCATACCCGTAATAACACTATCAATAGAAGTAGAAATGAGAATATTCAACTCATTAACTAAAGATATTGAAATAGCTTTTCTTCATCGTAACACGGTAGGTAGCAAGACTTTAACTGGAGAATCCACCACATGGCCAATCACTAACACTATTAAACCAGCAAGCTATTTAATTTCTTTATTGTAATGATATACATAATACCAACCCTTTAAAGATAAAGAAGGAGCCGTTAGATCATTGAAAATATTCTGGAATACAACTTCTTTCATAACTTTGTTATATTTTATCAAACAAGCTCGAAGACATAACGTATCTCTTTTAGCGTAAGGTTCCCATTCGTGTCTTAAAGATTTTTTCTGTAAATATTCATCGGTGAATGAATTACTTAAAGGTAGAGACAGAATGCCTCTAGCTGTTACTAGTGGACATTGCGTTAGTTTTTTCGCATTTTTAAGCACGATCCAGTTATTAAAACCGCTACCGTTATGCGAAATTAATGTTATTCTTTTTTGATCTATTTTTCCTAAACGTTGTAACATTTGATCGATGCTATCTTTACCCACAAATATTTCTACTATATTCATTAATTTATTATAAAATTCTTCTGGTACAGTATCAGTGGGATTTAAATCTGGAAAGTAATGTTTGATTCTGTCTAACATTTTTCTTAGTTTTTTTAAATTAAATAACGTGCAGGAATAAGGAATGACTTTATTCGTTTCTTTTTCGCTATAGGTTTCACAATCCCATACGTATAAACAATCATCGTGAATTGTTGGTGAAACTTGCGTTACCGCATTATCATCTCTACAAGTTCTCCATACGTTTTCATCGTAATTATCTTATATTTCTGTAATGCCTAAGGTTTTGTTATTTCTTCTTATGAGACAGAAATGTGATTATGTAAGTAAAATACCCAATTTAATTCTTCGGATACTTTCTTTGGTTGAAAATGTCTATGTTTGGGCATATAAATTTGAAAATAAGTATTAAATGTCTTATTAAATTCAAAGATTTTAGCAATTGTCATCACTCCTTTTCTGTTTAATTTTGAAAAACTGTTGATGAAATGTTGAAATTCTCTCGTGTAGTCTTCGTTTAAAACACGATTTACGCACTTTACAGAGCAGTATCCATCGCTCGGTATATAACAATTAATTTATACCGCTATATTCATTTATCTTTTTTGAGTAGGGTAACACCACTACCCTTTTTTGATCTTTTTATTTCTTTGAAAATGTTTCTACGTAAAATGATTTTTCCTGAGAAATACCACTCAGAAGCATCCGATTTTACATCCACAGTTGTGAAGAAATTGTGAAATGTTTTGGCATTAAAACCTGTAAATTTCATGTATTGTTTGTGTTCTCCATCTTGAATTATCTCTCCATCTAATTCAATTTGCCCTTTAAATGTATCAAATTTATCAGAGACAAGGTTAATAATTCTGGAAAAAAGTTCATTCGATATGAATGTTTCATCGTCTAAAATTTCAATCTTATTCATATTTTTTAAGCAACTACTTTTAACTAGGAATTTTTAACTTTTATTGATGATATTTCTACACCAAATTTATCTAAAATTTCATTGAATTTTTCTAATTCATCAATGGTTATGTTCTTATCTTCTCTGGATCTTTCGAAAAAAATGAATAATTTATTAAGATATGTATTTAAAATTTCTGTTTTTTTTATAGTGAGCTTTCTGTTTTGATGTAAAACCTAAAGTAATCAATCCACAAGATGAAGTTTGAACGGCAGTGAACGCGGCTAATACAGTTGGGACAATTATTGGAAGCATTAATCCACCGGTTACGGCTGTTGCCACCGTTATCCCTACTGTTAGAACTGTGATTAATGTTTTGAAAACAGAATCAATTCTACTCCATGTTTTTCTGCATTTGTTGAAGAGTTTTAGTTTTTCTTTTAGTTCATTTTGTTTTTCTATCATGTAGTTTTGTCTGCTTTCTAGTTCCATTTTTTAGGTAATTAAATTAAGTGAACTTCTGATAAAGCAAAAGATGGAAAGAATATCAATTCTTTAATAATAACTTCTACTGATACTAACGACATTTGTTCTTTCGAATCATTAATCTTATTCAGTTGAACTGAAAATTTTGGTTTTTCAATAGAGATTGATATATAAACATGTAACTCATGATCTCTTACTGGTAGTATCAAAAAAATTTGTTTTTGTTGACTTTTATGAATATCAATTGAGGTAAATATATCATTATTAACAAAATATAGTTTTACGTATTCAAAGTCTGTTGCTCGTAAAAAGTGATAACTCTTTTTTATTTTATTTTTTTCTTCTTCTGGATTTCTAATATTACTTACTGATGGTGGACTTTCCGTCTCCAATATCATATCAAAATGACTCAAAGTAAGAAAATCTTTATTTTATTTATCTGGTATGATTAACATTCTAAACCTATCTATATATTTTCCATTCGTTTTAATTTCATTTAAATGATGAGGCTTGTTGTTTTCGTCGTTACTTTCAAATTCTTTAATTTCTACATTTTTTGTACCATTGATAAATTGAAGAACTTTTTGAGCCTTAAATTTATTAGAAGATATTTGGTTTTGTCTGAAGAATATTGTATCAACTTTTACCTGAAAAGGAAAAGGTTATTTCAATTATATGTTTTCCTCGGAAAGTAAAATATGTTGCATGAAAATTATCATCTATATCAAAAAAATCTTGGGGGTAAATAATACCATCTGGAACAGAATATACTCTTATATTTGCTGTAAATCCATATTTTTTATATTTATAGTCTTTTGATTTATCAATATTATCAGTAATGGAAGGATCATCACGTCTCATACCTCCAAATGGAAGATTGAAATAATATGATTCTTTCTTGAAATACTTTTTTTCTAATGCGACTATATTTTTGTCCTGTTTTAAAACTAGGTTATTAATAGTGGTTATCTGTTGTTGAATAACACTATCATCAATATTTTGTATTTGTTGTTGAATATAGGTTTTGATTTCGCTATCATCAATATTCTGTATTTGTTGTTGAATATAGGTTTTGATTTCGCTATCATCTATGTTTTTTATTTGTTGTTTAATATTTCTTAGTTCTTTTTGTAATTCACTGTTAAGTTTAGTTTCCAGAGCATTTAATTCCTGTTGAAACGTATCTTCATTTTCATCTGGAATGTTATCTATTAATTGTTGAATGTCTAATTTTTGTTTTGTAATCTTATCCTCTAATTTAGATATTAATGAAATTAAATTTTGTAACTCAGTTTTGTTCACTAAGTTGACCAATTCTTTTTGAATAAAACTTATTAAACCTTTTACCTCTTGTTGTAGTTTAGTTTCATTAACAAAATTTTTATTATTTAGTTGACGTTTGAAGAATCTTTTCACATTACTTATTTTATCTTCTAAATGGTTTTTATTTACTTCAATTGAATTTATTTGATCCCGTAAATATTTCTTGTGAACAGCGTCATTATCGTTTTCCGGAAACTTTAAATTAGTTACTTTGAAATTGTTCATATCTAAATCACCTTGAAGAGTGTCTCCGATTTGATCCACAAAGTAAGACTTCGCTTTATTTATCCACGCTGTAGTGTTAGGTTTTTTAGTTTCTAAAGATAAAGAACCTAATCCAAACTTGTTCGCCATTTTTATTGAGTTAAATTTATTACAATTTCGAACTGTTTTCTCAATTGATATAAAACCCAAAGTGAAAGCTGACCACAAATTTTTTGTCCCGGTAATTAAATTTGAAAGGTAGAACATTTGATTGGTTGATTAGTCAATTGCATTATCTCCTCAGTGGGTTCTAATCCATAAGAATCGAAGAAATATAAGTCATTTGAAGAGTCTTTGTACAAAGCAGAATGATGAACTCCTTTTTGATCGGAAGTATGTATATTTGTTATAGCGTAAATTTTACCTTTCTTATATTTGAGATCATTTATTTCATTTCTCATACAATAATAAAACGGTGATATATTTAACTCATTCGCCCATCTCCTAAGTTGAAAGTTTGTGGTTGTATCGGTTCCATATTTATCGAGAAAGATATTCATTTTTAAAAGTCGGTTTTTTTGAAGTTCATTTTGATAAAACCTTCCTATGATTTGTTCTTTGTCTTGATCGATTAATTCATATGTCGGAGGTCATGTGGTGTTTATTTTATCAACGATGAATATTTCGTTTGTCCAGTATCCAACGTAACCTTTTTCGAATTTTCTTTTATATTTGAAAATACGAACTCGATCTCCGACTTTAAATTTTTTATTTCATTTTCGTTGTTATGTTGCGCGTTAATTTACTTTATAATATTTGGATTACTCGAGGCTTGTGTTGGTGTGACACCTATAGATGAATGAAATTTGTTATTGTATTTATCTACAACCTCTGGTAATATTTTAAGCCATTTTTGGGATTTCAATTCCGTGAACTTTTTTAATAATTTATTTTTTAGAGTTCTATTATATCTCTCAATAACTACAGCTTTACCTTTATTATGCGTGCTGTAAATTTCAAATCCCAGAGATTTCATATTTTTGTTATAAAATTCACTTCCTTTATCTACCCACAGTTTTTCTGTTAGATTGTTTCATAATCGTTTCAAATGCGTGTTTGACTGATAATCCTGTTTTGTTTTTCAAAGGAATAACCCAAGCACATCTCGTATACAAATCTATACCTGTTAAGCAATATTTAAATCCTCTTTCGATTGGCATTTGAATTAAATCGGCTGACCATATTTCATCTTTTTCAAACACGTTTTTCTAAATTCTTTATGAATTTCATCCGCTAATCCCATGCCTAATTTCATCTTTGCTTTTAACAGTTTTAAAATCAGAGCCCTTTGCATTCTCTCTCTTTGAAAGTTGGATTTGGAATTTCTTCAAGTTCGATTATCATCTGTCTGTCTGCTTCGTGTCTGAAGTTTATGTCTTTGTTTCTGTATAGTATGTCGTGTTTAAGCGCAGCGACATCAACTCTATTGACTGGTTCTTCGCCGAGTTTGGGTTTATCGTTTTCGTCTAATCGCAGATCTAACCTGGTATCTGGACTAGTGTAATTATGACGGGAAGATGTTTTTCTCCGGGATATTTCGCCCATGGAAATCCAGGAAGAGAACCCAATGATTTTTGTATATCTGAACGAAAATAAGTTTTTGGAGCGTTTGCGACAATCATTTTTATCCTATAACTTTATAACCTTTTCATTTCCTTTCTTCTAACCTCCTGTTTCGCATATCTCTTATTAATTGTAATTCTTTCAACTCGTTAGATTGTTTCACTGTGTCGCTTATACTCTTTCCCGCTTGGGCGATTGAGCCGTCTTTCGCTTCGGATGAAATAAGTGATTTGTTGTTTGAAACAAAGCTAGCTACTTTTGGAATTATTGTTTTACCTAGAGAAAATAATGAAGAAAAGATACCGACGTCCGAATAATCTTCGAATCTGTGTTGTTCGTGTTTTAGAATTAAACTCATCCTATTTTTAAATGAGTTAATTTAACGAAGAAAATGTGGTCTGTTTAAAAAGAGTTATCTCCCTTCTAGAGTAAAAATAACATTACTTAAAACGAGGCTATTAAAAATGTTATGTTATTTTATATAAGGGTATTTTTAATATGCTTTTTTTGATGGAATGTAGGAAATTGATTGAAGGTGTTTTTGGTGTATGAAATGTAGGGATGTATAGGTGTAAGAATTTAAGGGTGTATAGGTCTTTTTTTGGGAGGGAATTGATGGAATGTAGGGTGTTTAGGTCTTTTTAGGGAGGGAAATTGATGGAATGTAGGGTGTTAAGCATTTTTTTGGAGCTGACAGATTGGACGCACTTTCCCCATGAAATGAAATGGAATGGGGAATCCCCGTGCGTCCAATCTGTAAGCTCTAGTACTACTATAATTAATATCAATAATACATGAAATTTGGATAAAGTGAACCATGGTCCACCTATTTATTGAAAGGGGGAAGTGGTTTAAACTCAGCTAAAGCTAAATAAAGCAAGATCCGAGTTTTCAGTAACTGGTTTGATTTTACATTCCGTGATGTATATTAACTTTATTAAGCCAAACAATAAATATTATCACAAAAGCGAACATCGCGCAAATTTTTAACCTAAGAATACATGTGGTTTGCGGCCCTTGCTTTCCAGGCCTGTGACCTTAAACAACGAGCCTGCTAGATCGTCTGTTACATTTACATGACCGGTAGTGACGTAGAGTTCGTCATAGTTATCGCCACCCCAACCACAAGATGCTATTTGACTTGTTGGTAGCTTGATCTTCGATATTTCTTTACCTAAAAACATAACAAAACAGGGTACAGAGATCGGGGGTCGATGACAACATGCCCACTACGTTATGTCTGTTAATAAGGCGAAATTTTAATGACGGTACATCGTTTTTTAAGCTTTAACACAGCTTAAACTAGGTAAGCTCAGTTTCCTTTGAAGAGCTTTGTGTCGATGAATAGAAAAATACTTTTTGTCCAATACAAACCTGTGGTCGTATCATAACGTACAACACAACTACCATCATAATAAGCTAACCAGATATTTTCATGAATATCCGCGGTCATACCATCCGGATAACCCAAAGATTCTGGACATTTGACCAACACTTTTTTGTTACCTGAATACAAAAACAGGCCATTGAGATTGTAGCGTTCTTTCACTTTCAGCAAAGGGGGTGGTTGAATAGTAAAACTGATTTTATCCAAATCGCGATAATAAGCTCAAAATATGTAGTTTTGGATTTACAAGAACTATAAACGTAATACGAGAAACTTACTGTTTTCCACAAAGAAACAGATACAAGCAGAGAAATTGATCTAAGTGAATCATTAACATCCGAATCCAGAAAGACACTTGTAAAACACTTGATGACAAGCTCGGTACTGGAAACAATAAGAGCCAACTTACTTAGATTTCCAGATTCCAGATCAAAATCAAACGCCCAGACCTCTCGTGTTATGGTATCAGTATAAAACATTTTGGTATTATTATGTGTCCATGTTATACCATTGGAGATGGTTATTTTGTCCAAGTGGCGTCGAACCTTCAAATCCTTTTCCAGCGTATACAAAGAGGCTGTTTCCATTTCTGGAAAGACTGGTTTCTCCATATACCCCATTGTTCCTGAAATGTTGGGAAGCATTATATGCCATATATTCTGGGTCGGGTGACTTTCTCATCATCTCAGACTCCGCCCCCGTTGTTTTCAACGACTATAATTTAAGCTCGTGGATTATTTGGATTGAAGGGGACTCATAGGAAAAGATGCTTGTTAAACCCGTGACAACCACTTTCGGAGAGTTCACAAAACTTTAATTCTTATATTGTATTCTTCCCAGTAAGAATCCTCGTCAAAGCATTGCATCAGTTTCTTGTCCTTTTACAAAAAGTATAAGAGGCTGCAACACGACCAATTCAGAAGTTCTTAACAAAAAAGCAACAGCTTACCCGCCCAAAGCCTGCCAGAAGCATCACATTTTCCATCATTGAATCGATTCCTTGTACCTTGGTCAACACTGGCGAGGGGTGTCAGCTGTCCGGTCTCCCAGTTTAAATGAGATAAGTTCAAACCATCGGCAATTACATAACCTCCACTCTGCCTTGGGACGATAAGTGTTGTAGGTGCATCTGTAAAATAAGTTCACGATTAGCTGGTATATTTTCTGGATAAGAGGTCTCGCCTGTCTAACGAAATCTTTTATGTTATTGTTTGCAGGACTCTTAAGGACCATGAATGAAGATTATCAAAAGTTTCTGATATGAAAAACTGTTCAAATCCTGTTGCCTACAGTATGTTGCGACTGCACGAAATATATAGTCGGGACAGACGTCCTTTCTCTCTGAAAAACCATAGAGACGAGGTAGCGAGGTAAACCAGACAATTTCCATCCAGGTCGCATTCGTATCTAAGCAACTGGTAACTGAATATAAATATGCATGAAAAGATCACTAATTAATTTAGTGTCTCATCAACGATAAACCATAGGGGAAAGCTCTGAGTTGTGTTGTACTTACTGAACCGGATATGTTTAGTTACTGAGGACGATAATGCATACACAGAACTAATCTAAAGCTTACCATAGTGCCGCATCTCATCTATTTTGGTCAAAGTGTTGTATCTGTGAATGTTACCAGCTTGTAAGTCAACGTGCAGTAACATCTTAGTAGCTTCGTCATAATGAGGACCTTCCCCAACTGTAGTGGCTATGTTTTTCAGCACTGTTTCAACTTGATAAGGAGGCATGCTTGATTTTTTTGTACTGTTGAAGCTAAAAATGATACAAGAAGAAAACGGAATAAGTGTGAATAACTGATGAAATCTACCCAAATTTCGTTGTGACATAAAAAACAAATACAGGTAGACTAGAGTATTAATTGATGCTATCACAGTAGACTCTTCTTGGGTTTTGCTAAATCACAAGCTTTAATTGGTTGAATATAACATTAAAGCAGTATTACGGAAAAAGACTGTTAGATTACAATTGGAACGAAAGCTCCGATTTGACAAAAAAGACAAGTAGTAAGCTACTATTGGTGCCGATGCTATCAAAGTAAGGCCTTATTGGGTTTTGCTACATGGCACACTTTGGTTGGTTGAAAATAAGAACATTAGAACTGTTGAAAAGAACCGTTAGATTACATTGGGGACGAAAACAAAAAGGAAACGAAATTGAAGTGTTTCTTTATGGCAGAATTCCTCATCTTGTCGGTGATATGCATATCAATAAACAAGCCATAGTGTAGTTTTCATATGAAATAAATTAACTTACCTCCCTAACACAGTATGCAACCTCAGATCTGTCGACTAATCTAGCCCTAAACTTCTTGACCTTGGTATTTTAAAACATTTCACGATGATATTTCATATGTCCTTGAACCACAGTTACCCAACGTTGACAAAGTATAAAGTATGCAAGATAAAAATCGGCTAATCTATATGAGTGTGTATACGACGTATGGAAAGTTATACCTGACGGTAAATAATAAAAAATAAATATAAGGAAATGCTATATGTTTTCATTTCTAATTAAAATTTTGCTGATAGTACTTAGAATTTCACCAGGACTTAACGCTATGTCTGCAACGTTTTTTTGAAGCAAGACACCTTATAGACGGACCTAGTCCTTAATCAGTTATATAGCATATCATTTTTAACCCACGACCATTTTCTCACTGGTTGGCTAGAAATTAAAATTACCGGTTTGGATCCGATGCCTTAAGCAAAGATGAGTCAAACGTTATACTTCACGTACACGTACTAGAATTTAGGTTTAAGATATGTATTGAACAAACGTTTGCTAACAGGGGCGAGATTCCATGGGACGATCGTTTCACAAATTTATGTACTCACGAAATACACGTTATATATACGTTATGTACAGTGACCAACTACAATTGGACTGGTTGAACCAAGTACACAGGGCATCCACCACTTTGAATGGTAGTTCTGAATTATATATCCTTATTGTGGACAAAATTCGATAAGCTCTCGTCATACCTTGGAAAGGAGAAATCCTTTAAATTCTCGTACCCACTACAATGAAGGATATCATAAATTGTGTCTCTCTACACACTTCAGTTTAATATGGTGTATTAATATTTCATATTATAAAATACCGTCGACCCATTGTAAGTCACTGAACCCTTTATCTATAGTAAAAAAGGGTATTCTTTGGTAATCCGGGTCAAGGTCATGAGCTGATATATAGGTATAGAATAATTTTTTTTGCAGAAGGAAACATCAACACATCCGAAATTATAACATATGTCAGTACTACAGCAATACCTTAAACAAGGGGCCGATATTAGAAATATTACCATGCTTGAGTCTTGTTTTGTTAAAATGAACACACACGCCAAAGTCGTGAATAAAATAAGGACAATCCCTCTCGTACGAATAAAAAGGTCATCCTGATTGGTAGAAAAATCACCGCCTCATTGCATCTTAGTAAAAGTTAACCACGAATTCATCTATTTTTCGGCAAAAGGTTGTACTGTGGAAAAGAGGGAGTACTAATTGGGAGATGCGGTGTAATGTAACGACATCAAAGAGAAAGCAGTGTTTTTGCAGTGAGAATATAAAGTGATTTTACATTCTAATTTTCTGCACCTGATGTGGCTTAAGAAGACTGTCACTGGAAATGAAATGAGGAAGATTTTGCCAGAACTGCGGCTTGTCCTTCCGGTGTGTCTGGTTTTAGTGTCCCATCCGAACCACGTTTGGTTCTTACATGGTGTGCAATCCGAACGTCTTGACATGTCAGCCCTTCGATCTAACAAAAGGAAAACGAATTAAAAAAAAAACATAGTATTCGATTTCTTGGTATAAACTAAATTTAAAACGATACACACCATTGTTTAGTTCATGATCATTGAGTGTACTTGTATTATATCAAAATGACATTTGTAATCATTTCGAATGCAAGCTCATGTCAATAGAATTTTTAACAAGATATGATGATAACATTGTACTAGGTGTGAGTATTTTGTTAACGTCAAATTTATAAAACGTTTAATTATATTGATATACTATCATCAATAACAAAGGTCATTTCTATATATAACCGTGGTCTTCCAAATCTAATGAGCCTCTAGAATAAAACACAACAAGGGGTACCTTTATGATTTATGGTCGACATATAACCTCTTTCAGACATAGGTACGAGTAGCTCCTAAACAAAGGAACGCAAAAAAATTCAAATTTTGATTTACGCCAATGATGTACACCAAATATATATTTTTTCACTAAGAAAACCTTTTGATTATCAGTTCCGAGGCATTGTAAAAGCAACATGTTTCATAAATATTTAACAAATAAAACAAATTCTTATCAAGAGTTCATCCAAATGATTTTTAATCAACGGAAGATTGTATCAGTTCTTTGGATTAACAAAACGTCCAAAAAATAAAATCATCTTGGTCTTGTTATTTCTTATGCAGAATAGAAATGGGTGATCGGCGTTAAATTGCCTTGGTAGCATTCTAGTCTCAATACCCACAGCTCCAGCTGCAGCAGCTTCTGTACCGTCTTCGTTTACGTCAATAACGACTTTGTGGAAAACATCAGAGACGTAAAGGTTCTTTGTGCCGTCGATCCCAGAAAGATCTGCTTTGCCAGCAACAAAGCAGTCAGTCATTCCCATATCACCTAAATTCTTACTTAGCTTCATGGTGGAGGACAGAGTGAACCTGGGTAGGATGAGCTCAAGTTTTTCTTCTGCCATAGAACCGAATAGACCTGGCAGCATCTTCGTATCAAGCTTCTTTTCAAGGGCAAAGATTCCGTTCGTTTCCGAAGGTAATGCTACGAACATACTGAAAGCACCATCTTTATATGGTAGTTCTAAAGTGGCGCAATCCAGCTCTTCCGAATATCCAGTTCTGAAGCTCGCCATTCGTCTCATGAACGGTATCTCAACCTCATTGTCTGGTCCCATTATAAAAAGTCTGTTAACAGTCAAGGACGGGTCAAATTTCACATCCCAATCAGCCTTGAAGAAAATGGCATTCAAAAGGAGCATAGCTGTGTTGGATTTCAGCGAATTTGGTTGAAGAACCTCTTGGATTTTCCCTTTGGTTGACTCCTTAACCCATCCATTGATGGTCTTTTCGGCATCGCTTATCGCACCTTGGAAATCCACATTCACAGCATCGGCTTTGAAATCCTCTTTGCATATTTTCGTAAAAGATTCCAAAATCGAGTAAGCGTTGTCTAAATACATTCTATTAGCGATCAAGGCAGAGTCTTTCACATCAACGGATAAGATCTTGCTGAAGGCATCACGAAGTTCATCATCTTTTCCTTCGCCAAGATTGAGTACATCCTTAATTTGCGATTTAGTTGCACCTTCGGCTCCAAAATACGCCATTGATAGAACATTATGAAGACAGAACGGGGAAACCATGAGATTCTCGGAGTCGTCTGATGATGCCAAAGTCTTATATAGGTTGATCCCAAAAGCAGTACATGCTCCTGACAATGGATTGCCACTTTCAGTCATTTTTCTCTGAAAAAAAAATTAAAGTTTTTCAATTGAGAAACCAAGGTGTCATTGCCATTCCAGCACTCTTTAACATGCTTTTTCGCATTATATGGATTGAGAAAATTGGTACTGATCTTTGAGTTTGAGTATCTCCGAAGATTATCGTTGTAATAAAAATCCGTACAGGCAAGACAATTCTGTTAATCAAAATTTCGTCCAAAGTTTGACCAAATCTAGAGTAAAAGTTGTATAGTAGTGGACTCCTCCAAAGAAGTGATGTGTAACACTTAAATGTATGAAGAGCTTTATAAATAAAGCCAATATTGGATACGAGTGAGCAGTAATCGGAAAAACAATTTTACATTTTTGCACGTAAACTTCTAAAAGCTGAGAAAGCTCTTTTGAAGAAGTTATGCCATTCTGTGGAACGTAGTTTGTGGAATCTAGCCATTTCTTTCTCAAAGCAATGTTCGCCCGGTTTATCAACTCAGCAACCCTGTCACAGATAGTTATATAGATGCATATTTATATTTATCACATTCCCTACCTTATACAGAATTCAACAACAACTTAATCCAAAAGGAAATTAAACGGACTGAAAGCTACTCAAAGATATCTAGTTACTAATTTTATGACACTTATATTGGTATTGAGTCGTAAATATTACAAATCATTAAAGGTAGGACCATCTTTACCATAAACTTCACGATTGAAAGAATTTAAGTCCTCAATCCATCAAAATTGTACACTCGCAATATCATTCAGACAGAACAATACTGTGGTGAATCAACCAGATCATCTAGAATCAAACACAGTTTTCCCACTGTCAAACTATTGAATAATCCAGATACCAAATGTACAGCATGTACACATCATCTTTATTTTATCGACTGTATTCTAATAAGGTCTAAGATATCTTACACAGGAAGTAGCCAGCAATTGACAGTGTGTATTTCAAGGCAGACCACCTTTAACGATTTTATGGACAATAACCTGACTGAAGACAGTTTTATTGATGCTTCAGTTGGGTGTGTTATCAACTCATGCTATACCTACTTCAGTCAATAGTGTGACATTGGCTCACTTACGTGCAGTTGTCTGCGTTATTATAGTCGATAAGGAGAAAAAATCATTTGTTTCTTTCCGTCATATAATATTTCTCAATTCATTCAAGGGAAATATTTTTGGCACTTAGTACCGGTTTTTTTTTTTTGGATGTACACAAGAGATCGGCCCTTTTCAATTATAGCAAATTTACCTCCATAATTTGAGGTGTTGCCACATTTATAAATTTTATCGGGTGCAATTTTAGTTTGATTTCTTTAAGTGCCACAATCTACTGAAAATTTTAAAAATAGCTGGGATCAAAATTAAGATCTAGTAAAACGTAAAGCAGTAGGCTTACAGAAATTGTAAAAATTATGAATATTCGTCACTCCACTGGCCCTTGACAGAACAAGATCACGTACACAAATGCTCAACCTTTTCTAGTGAATTTCACTTCAAGGGAAATAACTCGTGCAATAACTTTACAATAAGTATAGCTGTGTTCGACTTCAGCGAATTTGGTTGAAGATCCTCTTGGATTTTCCCTTTGGTTGACCCTTCAACCCATCCATTGATGATTTTTTCGGCATCGCTTGTCGCACCTTGGAAGTCGACATTCACAGCATCGGCTTTGAAATCCTCCTAGAATATTTTCGCAAAAGATTCCAAAACCGAGTAAGATTTATCCAAATACATCCTGTTTGCAACCAAGGCGGAATCTTTCACATCAACGGATAAGAAGCTCATCATCCTTTCTTTCGCCAAGATTGAGTACATCCTTAATTTGCGATTTAGTTGCAACTTATGAATATTCGTTACTCTACTGGCCCTTGACAGAACAAGATCACGTACAAATAAGCTCAACCTTTTCTCGCGAATTTTACTTCAAGTGAAATAACTCGTGCAATAACTTTACAATACAATCTGTATTTAGATATTAAACTGGTACCCTGTTGTGTTCTCTTATCGCTGTGAAGCTTTAGACGGAATGGCGGACCAGTTTAGATATAGCGGTGTGAATTCAAATTGAACTAAGAATAAAAATCTTAACTGCTACTCAAGTTTTTCTCGTGAATTTCACTTGAAGAGAAATAACTCGCGAAATAATTGTTACAATATCTGTATTTTGTTATTGAACAGGTGCTCTGTTGTGTTCGCTTATCGCTACGAAGCTTTAGATGGAATGTCGGACCAGTTTAGATATATATTTGCGTGACTACTGATCATTCAAACTGAAATAAAAACATTTCTGACCTCGTGCACGACCGCTCTACTTTATTTTGTGAATTTCACTTCAAGGGAAATAACTCTTCCAATAATATTTCATTATCGGTACTTGGATATAAAACTGGTACCTTGTTGAGTTCGCTTATCGCTGTGAGGCTTTCGTTGAGATGGCGGACCTTTTCAGATATATATTGATGTGACTACTGAACATTCAAATTGAATCAAAAATCAAATCTGACCTCCTGCACATATAAACAACTTTTTCTTATGAATTTCACTCCAAGGGAAGTAACTCTTCCAATAATATAACAATGTCAATAAAATCCGTTGAAGCAAAACAATCCCGTTATTCCGATAATTAAAATCTCGTCCAAAGTATGGCAAAATCGAGAGAAAAGGTAATAAAGTAGTGGACTCCTCAAGATAAAAGTACAATCAGGTATTTCGAAAAGAGTAAGCATGGTCTGCTCATGAGATGCAATCAGACCAATTCATGCCTGACAACACCATTAATTTGTTATAATATATATCAGTATAACTACTAAACTTTCAAATTGAAAAAGGTGAATTTATTCTTTTGTGTTCAAATTAATAAATAAACATTAAAAGGTTATTGTATATATTTTATATTTCTAATATTGTATACTTTATACAAAATAAACATATAGAAAACATCAACAATTTTACAACAAAATACATAATATTGTATAGCCATTAACAAATTTACACAAAATATAAAAGGAACACTTGTCTCTTATCTTATGATTTTGAAGTCTTAAATATCTACAAATTTTCACAAAATATCAACAAGTTTATATTAGCAGTTTTTTACAATAATTTTTTTACGTTAATATTTATACATAAACTTACTCACAGATTAATAAAAGAATGCTTTCAACTGTTATGTATTACATTATTCTTATAATTAACAAATTTATTCTTATAATTAACAAATTTTATGCCTCTATCACTGGTTATGTAATACATGACATAATTGACCCCATATTTACCTTATAATAATTAACAAATTTATATAATTATAATTCAACAAATTTACTCTTTGAACATTAATTACTATTATCAACAATATATACTATAAGTCTAGAAGTTAACAAATGTATACCTTCAACATTGGTTACTATTAGCTTACAATTAATGATCTACATGGTACTATACTGATGGAACCAGGTGTTATTAACAACATATTAAAGAGATTGAATTATATAATGATCAACAATTTTATACATTTATAGAAGTTAACAAATTTATACTTTTAACATTGGTTATTATTAGTGTACATTAAATTACCTACAATGTTATCATAACACATCACCAAATTTTATTACAGTTTCAAAGACAATGAATTTTTCTATTTCTAGAAGTTAACAAATTGATACCTTCCACATTGGTTATAATTAACACATAATGACCAATAATTTTACCATGATAGTATAATAACAAACTACAGTTTCAATGATCTACAAACTTACACTATTCTAAAAGTTAACAAATTTCCTTACAATGGTTATAGTATACACTGTTTGACCTATAATGTTACCATCGTAATAAGAAACTACAGTTTCAATGATCAACAAATTTACACAATTCTAGAAGTTAACAAATTTATACCTTCCACAATGGTTACTACACTTAATGACCTATAGTTTTATCATGATAATATTACAGTTTCATTCATAAAGATCAACAAATTTTACACAATTTCAGAAGTTAACAAATGCATACCTTTTTATATTAAAACAAAGATCACTATAAGTTTAGTCCTAAACATTTTACCTTTTTTATCTTGATGATCAACAAATTTACATAATTATAGAAATTAACAAATATTACACCAGAACCTTAGAAAGATCATTGAGAAGTCTGTAATTAATTATTTGAGATAATTTGTTGGAAGACACTTCTAAACTATTCTTAGGTAGAGAATACTTTGATAGATATGGTATGCATGTATAAGTAATTTAAAAAGAAAAGAGACAAAAAATGGAAATCTCCATTTACAACTTCCATTTCCTTTAAGGCCACAATATAAGGTTAAGGGAAACAAGAAAATCTAGAAAAGAGATCAACAAAATTTTCAAAGGCTTTCCATGATCTGAGATCAACCCAAAAAATACAAGTAAAGTCAATAGAAACTTTAAAGCCACAATTTAGAAGAGATCACAAAGAAAATAAGATTGAATTCTATTGAAGAGCTCAAATAATGCTGCTCTCATATGTTTCAGATATATAATCTTCATCAGGACAGCTTTTTCAAAGGAGCTCATACAGAATAAAGATAGAGGCACATACAAAATAACAACTTTGGTATTGATAACAGGAAATGTTCAGCAAGTTTCTTTAAAATCTGTTGAATGATTTCCAACATTTCAAAAATGCACAAAAATAAATACAGTACATATATGGAAATATTTAAAGTTTTTTAAAAATCATTCCTAAAATAGTTTAATTTCAGGGTTCGCACAGCCTTGAAAAACGCTTGAATTCCGTCTGTTGCCTTAAAAAAAAGTCTTTGAAAACACCATAAAAAACCCATTTTCTCTTGAAAAGTCCTTGAATTTTGAGTTGAGTCAAATTGTGTATTTTTTTATCATTAATCCCATTGACAAATATTAACTATCTTTATTGATTTCACAGTTCAGAAGTAAGGTACATGTGTATTCTGTCAGACTTATATCCTTGAAAAGTCCTTGAATTTCAAAGCCCAGAGTCCTTGAAAAGTCTTTGAATTTTTGAGGCAAAGTGCTGTATGAACCCTGAATTTGTACAGAATAGCTCAAATATAAAAAGAAATGCGAGATTCTCCCATTGAACACAAATCTACAGTTTTTATATTACTACATATAGGTTTTTATCTTACCAACTCTTAAAGCTTTTTGTCGAACAAAGTTCCTATCAAATTTGAAAGCATCATTTGACACTCCTTTGTTATCTTCAAGAATATAATATTAAAATAAGTGCAATGGTGGGTGTTGCTAGCAATATGTTTCAGATCACCTGATGCCATTCTGCAACTGAGTTTGTCAATTAAGTATCCCTTACAGTGGAAATATTGTTTATTTGGTATATTTAAATATTTCAAAATATTGCAAGAGAACCCATTAATATCATTATAGATGAAAAAAATGCCAGCATTCTATGAAAAAAGGCAACACATTGAACACATACTGAACAATAATACACATCTTAAGTATGTATCTAAAAAATATCTAAAATAATACGAACACAGAGCAGAACAATGGTGCAATGCTCTAAATTGTTCCTGAATTCAACTTTTGTTCCGTTTTTGTATTAGCTTTTATATTTAATATAGCTATTTCAGCAAGGGTCTAATTTTAATCAGATTGGAATTCAACAAAATAGAAGCAGTACTTTTAAAGGAACAGCTTCCCAATACATTCCACCAACTGTACCTTAGTCTTATTTTTTAGCTAAGCTAATCAGTAAGTGTTCATAGCACCGTCGAAATTTGAGCCTTCAAATTCATATTGTTCATAATCATCCTTATTTGAAAGTTAAGTGACAACTCGTCTTTCCTATAGTTAAGTTAGAAATAGAAATAGAAATAGTACTTCTGAAGACTATTTAAATATATTCAAGACCGAAATCAAACCCCCCAAAATGGCCAACCTCTCCCTTTAAACCAATGTTCAGCAGAATTGAAGATAAATAAAGACAGTCAAAAAAGGCTAGAACAGTATGACTTGAACACATGACAAAACTTTACAGTTTACACATAACAAAAAATAAAATATCTTAAACAATCAAATATCTAGGAATGACTAATCATTTCAACCTGTGAAACTATCTACCTACGTACTGGGTATTGATTGATGTATTTTAGGGGCCTTTTGTATAATGTTTATATTTTTATAAATGACTTTACTAATAAATGAAAAGATTTATAAAATATGCTACCTGAAATTGTTTTAAAAAGAGGTGATTACAAAACAGAGCATACTAATAATTGTGAAGTAACCAGTTTATATTAGATTTGGACCTCTAACAGCTCGATATTTTTTATCTAAATAAATTACCTGTAAAATGAGACTAAAATAGGCTGGATGTTATAAGCTTAAGGTCTAGAAAATTTATAATGTTCTTCACAAATGTTGATATAAGGATATGGTTATGTATGTTATAATTCTTAATATTTGATTTTTGATTAAGTTTCAATATTTGAAATTTATAAAGCGAGAAATAGTTTTTCAGTATCCTTTTTCCAAGGTATATTTTTGTATTTATTGTAAAACAAGTATATTGCAAAGCCCTTAGTAATAAATTTTTAATTAACATTAATATAGATCTCATCTATAACAAGTTAAGTGAGGTTCTGATTGTCATTTCAAAGATCTAGCTTTGAATAATCCAGTCTTTTAAAAAAGGAATTCCTGTCATAACTTTGCAATTATAAACGTAAAATGTGCCAAAACTGTTTGTATTTTGGAAACTAAATGTATATTAAAAAAAAAATCAATAACTTATGTTTTGAAGACATGGAAGACCTATGCTGAATTTTGAACCTATTGTCTAAGCACACTTATTTGTAAATCAAATGCTTTCAAAAGTAGTTATATAAAATTATATAAATTTCACTTAGACGTATCCAAATGAATATAAGTAAATGTCTTAAAAAAGAATATGATATAAAACTAAATTACTTGTAAATAGTTCTGATATGAACTTAAAACAATGAGCCAATTTTGTTTTGAATTTATCATGAAATTAAGACACACTTTTAATCTTAAGAATGGCTTTTACATGAGCCACAATTTGTTTTGATATGATGACTATCATGAAATCAATACCCAAGTAGAACAATTTGTTTGGTATGATATGATGGCTTTGTCATGGAATTATGAACATGAGCCATTTGGTTTTGTATGGTGAAATGGCTTCATCATGAAACTCTAATCATGACCTATTTAGTTTGGTATGATATGATGGCTTTGTCATGGGATTAAGAACACGAGCCATTTGGTTTTGTATGGTGAAATGGCTTCATCATGAAACTCTTTTCATGACCTATTTAGTTTGGTATGATATGATTGCTTTGTCATGGGATTAAGAACACGAGCCATTTGGTTTTGTATGATGAAATGGCTTCATCATGAAACTCTAATCATGACCTATTTAGTTTGGTATGATATGATGGCTTTGTCATGGGATTAAGAACATGAGCCATTTGGTTTTGTATGATGAAATGGCTTCATCATGAAACTCTAATCATGAGCCACTTTTAGTTTTCTTAATCCTGAAATTGAAGATCTGAATCCAACTTAAACAGCAGATTCATATAATGTGACAGTTTCCTTTTTCACAGGTTTGGGAACTTGTGTTTCATACCACCCTTCCTTACGTAGAAATCTACCAGCATCCCTTTCTCCCTTCTCAAAATACTGCTGAAGAACTCTTCTAGAAGGAGGAAAGAATGCATGTGTTCCACGCATTATATTGTTCCAATTGAGTTGATAGTCTTGATTACCCTGTGTAATAAACCACGATTTGCCTTTCACATCTTGAGGTGCAATGTCCTGACTGCCACAAAAGGGTGAGACTGTGATAGTCCGACCATCAGAAAAGTGGAGCAGATTGTTGGTAATGCCTCCATCCATATATTTCTGTAAAAAATAAAATTGAGGAATTATATGATAAGAAATGTCTTTATTTTCTTCACTTAATTCTCAATTCTCACTCAATCTCTTATGTTTCTAGTGCTTTAATGGATTTTATCTTGTGGAAGAAGGGATAATTACTCTATGTTTCATGGGTAAGTATTTTGTTATGTATGTGTTAATTTGAGGGATTAACTTGTAAGATTTTTCGGACATTTGTGCTATGTTATAAATAGAGATGATATATTTTTTATGTCTACATAGCTTCTTATGAATAATTTCAGATTTGTTTAATAACGAACTTATGTTTACTATTTTGAAAATAAAATATCAATAAAAAAAATTCATGAAATTCCAGGTCTTGAAAACTATTTTTCATATTCAAGGATAATCCAGGAATTTCAAGGATGGCAGGAATCATGTCATATATATTAAAATACTAACCTTGCCTCTTATACTGGGTGGTTTGGTGCCAGCATAAACAGGAATATAGCTACTAGCTATCAATGCTTGAATCAGTTCCTCTCTGGATTCAAACTCTGACATGATCTCATTTTTCTTGGTCTGTGTATTGGTTAGAGATAAAAACAGTCTGCCAGTAGCTATTTCATGAGCGTCATTTGGTAAGGAGGACTCAAGAAAGTTTTGTACAGGTTTTAACAAACTGTAACGTGGGGTTAAAGCACCGAATGGTTTGGACCGAATACTTTTGGCTAGGTTGAAGGTAAAGGAGGTACAGTCCTAAAAACAAAAATTGAGAAAAATAAAAGATGCTTTAAATTTTATTTACTACTAAAAATCATGGATTTTTTTCTTTAATTTAACTTGAAGAATCTACGACATATTAAAGGTGTGGGCACATGAGCGGTCTTGGTCAGAGACTTTTGTCGCCTATTAGAGTCTTGTCTTGAGTTTCAACAACTGGCACACAAAGAGATAAAAATCTCCAGTCGGTCATTTTCCATCTTGTCTATAATCACGTGCGGAGCAGGCAATTGAAAAGAAAATTAATCTGATTGGATGATGACGTTCTGTCTTGCAGACGATAATTAACAAACTTGTTTGATATTATAAATTCTGTCGGCGACACGAGCAGCGGGGGCATAAGCGGGATTTTACTCAAGATTCAAGTCGGCAACTAAAATTTCTGACCAAGACCATATGCTCATTATAAGAAAGCTTTGACCCTCAACATTACAAAATTATCATAAATTAATTAAAATTGTATATAATATTCAATTCTTAATCAATTCAGATTCTTGTCTACAATGAACTGCCTTTTAGTGGATCCAAACTAACTTCAGTATTTACTTTGAGGAAAAGATGCCTTTTTCCATATTAAGCATTGAAGAATAGTGGATCCAAACTAACTTCAGTACCGGTATTTACTTTGAGGAAAAGATGCCTTTTTCTATATTAAGCATTGAAGATTAGTGGATGAAATATAACTTCAGTATTTACTTTATGGAAAATGCCTTTTTTAATATTAAGCATTGAAGAATAGTGGATGAAAAATAACTTCAGTATTTACTTTATGGAAAAAGATGCCTTTTTCTATATTAAGCATTGAAGATTAGTGGATGAAAAATAACTTCAGTATTTACTTTATGGAAAAAGATGCCTTTTTCTATATTAAGCATTGAAGATTAGTGGATGAAAAATAACTTCAGTATTTACTTTATGGAAAAAGATGCCTTTTTCAATATTAAGCATTGAAGATTAGTGGATCCAAACTAACTTCAGTATTTACTTTGTGGAAAAAGATGCCTTTTTCTATATTAAGCGTTGAAGATTAGTGGATGAATAATAATTTCAGTATTTACTTTATGGAAGATGCCTTTTTCTATATTAAGCATTGAAGAATAGTGGATCCAAACTAACTTCAGTATTTACTTTGTGGAAAAAGATGCCTTTTTCTATATTAAGCATTGAAGAAGAGTGGATGAAAAATCATATAACCTACATCTATTTTTTGTTGATCTATCAGTAAAGTAGCTGCCACTAGAGACCCTGCAGATGCACCACCATATTTATAGATGTTTTGTAAGAATCCTTGTCCATGCTTGACAAGACATGTGGCCACACCCAGATGATAGATCCCCAGGAAGCCACAACCACACATTGACAGATGAAGTCTCATGTCTCCTTCAGTTCCTGGACACAGACTTCTCAAATCAAACAAACTTCCTGCTTCTGAGAGAGGTCTTGAATCTGTGGACCTTTCTGTATCTGATAAGTTTTTCTTTGGTTCTGCTGGTTCACCTGCAGATGATTCTACTGATATCTTCCTTTTCTTTCTTTTGGCTCTCAATTTTTTAAACATCTGTTGGAAGAAGTAATTTAATGCTAGAAAAAACTTGATTAGCAAAAATCAAAAGAATAAGTAGGTATTGGCTATTTTAAGAGTCTGAAAGAATTAACTATAAATATTGTTGCCAATATGACAAACTTCCTACTTCACGTGCCTGCCTCAGATTTTTCTCATATGCCTATTATTCTCTGAGTCAGATTTCTTCGTTTTTTAGTTATTTAAATTCATTATGGAGGGCTGTCTGTATAGAGTTCGAGATGGCAACAGAGTGACTCATGATACACAAGTGGATTTCAAGTGTAACAAAAAGAACACAACTCATTGGTAAAAGCTTGCACTGTCTTCTTCCACCACAAAAGTAGCTAAATAGCCAATGACTGGTCCTGTATCCATGTGCAAGTCACCAAGAAAAAGCATATGCCTATATTTCGGTGTCTCAAGAAACCACCTACATTGCATCAAAGCTTAACTTTTGGAACTCAAGATTTATTCTACAGTTAGCCTGCCCTTCCCTTCATGGAAAATGTAACCTGTTTTATTCTTCACCTTTTGCAAATATTTCTACTTGAAGCCCAGAATAATACAATAACATCAACGAAAACGAAATGAAGAAATTTTAAAACAGAATATGTACGTTTTCATAAACGGAAGGAAATTGAGTCATTGACACTGAAGTCAGCTCTCAAAATAGGTAAAGGTCGTGAAATTATAATATTGGGCTGAATGAGTGAATGAAACACTGGTTTTTTTCAATCTCAGTTCCACCCGAGGGCAACAAAAATATTTGAATTACTTTATGAACACTTACTCTTGTAAAAAGTCCAAATATTAGCCACTTTAATCCAGTTTGTTCCGAAATATCTCAAAAAGTAATAAATATATTCTTTCTTGACAGGTTTTGTCCACCATCTTGCATTGTGAGTTATCTGCCCTTGTGAAAGCAATCGAAACCACACAACCGCGTCCTGAGCGACGAAACAGATTCGGACAAGTTTCCTGGGGGATTAGAAATGACTAAGACTAAATGGCCTTTTATCTGACATTTTTTATGGTTATAAAAGAAAAAAAAATGGTTAGCCAAATTTACGGCTTAAGGCTATCCTGAAAGAAAAAGAGGGGAGGGGGGTGGGGTCGCAGTGTTTACAAGTGTATAAAAGATTATTTAAAATGCACTCCTCCTTAATATTTTCCGGCTCTTTAACCTACATGGAAATATAGTAGGTCATAGGAATATCTTCATTAGACTTGCAAGTCACAAATTATAAAATGTTATGAAAACAATAACCGCGTGGCATCGTTGACACCTTTCAAACAAATGTGTTTCTGACGACTGCTTGTCACGTGCCAGAATTGTCATTTTGATCAAGTAGTCAAAATATGGGTTCAAGGCAACACTTATTTGATTGACACATTTCAAACATGTCCGTCATTTGTCATCGATATTATTCCCAAAGTCAAAATAAATGAAATTATAAATGAATGTTTTTCTGGAATGGTGGCCTCTACAATTATTTTGAGTTGCATTTCCTTTTTAAATACTTTAGGCCTACTTAAGATTTTAACCTATTCCAATCGCGGAACATCTATACTCATATCCTCATACAGTCTTTTTCGTAAATCATTGTTTTGGTATTTGTATGCTGCCCACAAGAGGCGTATATGCAATAAATCTTATCTTATGTTATCTTATCTAGTGCGCGACGGGCACCCATCGCCTTTACAGGTAAAAAATACAGCAAATGTGTGATGGAATGGCATTATTCGGCTTTTTCTGCGTCAAACTGAACACCCCTGCGATCAGGTGCCGCGAGTTCAAATCATCCCCAAGGATTTAAATCCTCTAATGCTCTTATTTGACTGCCCTGTTGTAGCTGTTGGGCTATTCTTTAAAGCGATACCAATGTGCCACCCGTGGAAATAGAAAATGTTGCTCACTGCAAGTTATTACTGTCAGAAATTTAACACCAGGTCTATCCACATTTGCATCAAAAGTTGACTCACGTCAACATTACAAGGAAAACATTTAAGCTTTTTGTTTATTATTTTAAAATTTTGTAATTTGATTTGATACAAAACATTGGAAGAGCAGGGACGGAGCAATGTCAAGACCATAATATTTTCATCAAAATATTGTTTTCACCGATTTTAGTCCATGGCCTTGAAATTCCTTAGATTGCGTAATCTACATTGTACATAGTCTAAAAAAGAGGTTTCTAAAATATTACATATTATAAGGTACATCATCCAGAGTTCGTGAATTTTTTCTTCAGAACTAAGTTTACGTTTGTAAGGAAAGTAAATGTTGATACACTCAATTGAAACGCGGTGACATAATACATTTCCTTTGGTTATATCCCTTTTGGTACGAAATTGTTGGTAAGTTAACAATTCGTTAAAAAGGAATATTCCAACTAGAGATAAATAACACAAATGAGATAGTGAAGCAGCCAGTCAAAACTTTCGTTCCGTTTAATATAAACTTTTATTTCTAATATAGTCACTAAAGGTGAACAAAAGAGAAGCATTAGACACCGTTCGCGTCACAAAATCCCTGCATTGAAGAGGGAAAAAATTTGAATTGCTTGTTGTCATCAAAAATACAAATGTTCAAAAAGGTCGTCTTTAGACCCTAACTGAAGTAAATGCTAAAATCGAAACAAAACGAAAGTTTGGTCTAATTCTAATTAAACTGGCGAAGCATATTGTACAATTTTAAAAGTTAGTTTTGGATCGTAATGGAGTATGCATTTCGGCTACCAAAAATAGCAAAAGGGTTCATTTGTGAATGCATTCGTTTGCACCACCAAGATCATGACTATTGCATCAAATGTTTTTGTCGTTATAAGTAATACGAAATTGGACCAGAATAATTATTGGAAGAGCAATCGGCACCCTAAAAGCAGGAACTGTGAACGTTATCCTAACAGTCATCAAACCCTCAGCACTAATAGTCTTCAAGACACTGCTTTTGAGCACAAGGAACATTGTCATCGGATAAATGGAAATATTGGTAGCAGCAATTGTCGTAGATCTTCTTAAAACATCCGGGTTGTTTCTCATACGTGTCCTTATATCCCAACCTGAAATTATATATAAAATATCACCTTTGAAAGATTTGAAACATGAAATAAGTTTCAATAAACCAGTCACGTAAGTGCTTATACTGAAATGAAATTGAGTTTTATGTCCTGCTTTTCTTTACCTGATTGGGCTGATGCAAATTGTGAAATGAATTATTTTCGTGGGTAAAAAAACAGATTATATGTGGCGACGTTGTACATTCATTAATTCCATTTCTTAAATAAATCAAACGTACGAAACTCTATCCCTTGCATATCTGAAAGGCTCTGAGAAAAATCTATAGGTATATCCGTATACCAACCAAATTCTGTAGATCGTTAGAAAAAACACTCTACCTGCAGCATATCCAATATTTATTTAAACAGACACATTCCTCGCATGTATTCTTGAACACTCTTGTTTCATTAACTTTTAGATCCACACTTCCATCAGGTCGGTTTAATTCACATCGGTTACCTATCAAAGAAGGATACACTATTCAAATTCAAATTCAAGCCTAGCAACGCTTTACCTCTATAGTCTAAGGTTGAAGCTGTAATTCAAAACCAATGTCCATTGACGTTAGTTCTTGCACTTGGCATACCTTGAAAGCAATGGACAAGGCGAAGCCCTTATTTGTCCTATTGCATTCTTAGGCATATTGCTGGTATATTTGTGTTCCTGATCAAAGTACCTGGATGATCGTCCAAGTTTTAGTATTGTCCATCAGTTTGAGTAATTACAACTATGACCCAAACTCTGATTCATATACCTAAACCACAATAAAGTATGCAACATTGGAGATTTGCCCAACCACCTCTGGAAGTTTTTAACGCTCCAAAATATTTCCAGGCAGACAAGACAACAATATACATACCTTTGGTTAATCCGGCACTGCATTCTCCAAAAGCTTGCACATTGTATATGCACACCATACAAAATACAAAGACAAAAATAAAAACCTTCATCTTGACCAGACAAAATTATACAGAAGAGAATGGTTTCATGTGATCCTAAACACGTTTATGTACCAATTGATGTTAAATTGGAATGACGACAATCCTAATTAACAGATGCGCAGTGTCAAAAACTAAGTCATCGACCTTCTAATAGTTGGCATAATCCGAGAATCTATACTTGCATTCTGATTTACTTTCATTGAATTCTTAAAATGTGTCACAAACAGATACGATTTTGCGTTCTTAAAACCAAAATGTGTCAGTACTTCATGTAAAGATGGTTAGAGCGTTTATTGTTTACTTCATTTGCTTGGTTACGTCGAACAAATGGTTGTCGTGGGTTCTTAGATCGATCGGCGTGTGAATGTCCGATGACCTCGAATAATTCATCTTAACTCTAGTCGACCCACTTGTGAATGTGTAGGGATAATCCGTGAAAGATCAATACCAAGAGGTTTGGTCAATAAGCAATATATATGTAAAGTATAGTTCTTTCATTTAAGACCTCTTCCGTTAAATTGCCTCTATAAATAGACAGAATATAGAATGATTATCAACTACCAAACCAATAGCACAGATTCATCCAATTTGAACCAATCCAAACACCAACTACCAACTTCATCGACTACCAACATCTACCTAGTTTGCGATATCAGTAACTTGTCATCTTCCTACCCACCTTCCTACTTAACATTCAAATAACGTAATATTAAGCGACTTGGATATTCGGACTAACGGGGATTTCTATGGTTAATTACCAATTATAGCACATTTCAATAACAGGAAATCATTAGATAGAAATTGTCATATTTCTGGTGTGGTGCGGTTAACTTATTGTTCTTACTACGTCACCAGTGGAACTGAACTTGATAAGACCAATTAGAGCCATTAAGGGTTTTGTCCATACGTGCGGTATCATTCGTAACAAAAGGCTTGTATTATCCTTAATGCGTAGAAATGATGTACTGGTTCTGCTGTTAGGAATGGAACACACTTTTATTAAAACAGTTGTCCCTTTCAAAACACGAGTAATCGATCAAGCAAGAGAGTTCGCAGCCATTCTGCTGGAGAGATTTCCCCACGTCTTTTTCAAGATCATCAGACTTTCACATGGTTTCGATCTCGATTGGCGCGTGAAAGTTCGATCACCTTGAATAAGTCATCGTCACTCATAATTCCAGTCGACCAGCTGTAAATGGGTATGGATAATCTGTGACAAATCAATGCCAAGAGGTTTGGCCAAGGACCATTTGGTAGAAAAGATCCGTAATTGTGAACTTAACTTAAATGACAATCATGCGATCATAGCAAACATAAAGCAAATAGTATGAGTATGGATGACCGATAAGCTCAAAATCCAAAATGTTATTACGAAGATTGTTTAAAAAGTGGGATATTTCTAAGGAAATCATTAAATGAATCAGAGATACAAGAACATTATAGTAACAAGAACTCGACAACACTTGCTATAGACGAGTCATCAAATACCTGCAACTGAAAGAGCTAATTTGAGCGCAGATATTGGCTGACATTGAATCAATGTGTTTCGTCTAGACAGAATTCCAAGCAAAAAACTGATATTTCGGAGGTTCTATGGCATATAATTACTGCAGGTTTATTTATCCTAATGTACGACCTTTAAGGGCAGCATAAATAATAATACATAATGATATATAATAATACATAATGATATATAATAGTACATAATAAATTATCAATTAATAGATATCAAATTATATTGTTTTTTATAGACTTATATATCAAAGTACATGGATATAATAATTCCAACAGTAGCAAAACAAGATGAAAGTGTTTATTATTGGCAACATCATAGCTATAACTACAAGTACAAACCATCGTCATAAAAATTGAGGAAGACAAGATGAGAAAAAGATAAATGAAATGAAAAAGTAAATGAAGAAGGTGAGGGGTGTAGATCCCCACCCCCACACACACCACCCATTAGCAAGTAGAACAAGATCGAATTGCAGTATTTGCACTTCACTAATGGTACAAACACACTCACATACACAGATGTCGCATTTTCTCCTCGAAGTCAATGGCTTCAAATTTGTTTACTTCGACTACAAAAGGCCACTTATTTCAAAAATGGGTTATTGAAATTTGTGTCGACATATGTATTAAATAATTTAATTAGAATTTTAACGAATTTTAGAGAAGTATTCAATTACAGGAAACGTCCGCCAGATGACACCAGTGACATTTCCACGAGGCACACCCACTGAGAAAATGATCAATCAACAATCGTGTTATGTTCCATTTGAAGTATTAGACCCTCCCATTTCCATTTGTGACTGGATAATCACGAGTGCTTAGGCAATTGTCAATTGTTCCCTAGAGGGATATTGTGTATTGAGAAAAAGTGTGTGTTTTTACGAAAATCTGATGTTTGATTATTAAAGTTTGTAAAGCGAATTTGGACTTTTTATGTAGGAAACCCCAGGCTAAAACCCTTTCACATCAAAATCGTATTCGTTGGTTGGTTGGTGGATGAGAGGTCATAAGGCCTGGTCGGGCCAAATGAAATGGTATCCGCTTCCAGCAGAAATTATATCGTAGACTAGATTGTCGCGGTATTTGGTCAGAATGAATTCGTAATGATGTATGGTTTAGGCCATGCGGTATCGCAAATATATATCGGTATATGGTCAAGCAAATATTTATACACGACCAGTCCACTTCATTTCGAAGTAGAATAGATAATAATTATAACTATGCAAATTAGGATTTTATTCTTTAAATTACTACCTACACTACCTGAAAATAATATGGACTGCTCAATTTATGTTTTGAATCGGAACCGGATATGCATACACATTTTTGTTGATTAAACTCCGTAGCTTAGACCACTGATTCCTCAATTCAAATCGATTATTTGGTGTACATGTGTTAATGCAAAGGCTACTGTCCATCATTTGAGTTCAAATTACACAAGTGACAATTACGATTAAGAAGGTCATGTTCAAACTTACAAATGTTTGCTACTATTTGTCAACAGGGGAAAGAAAATACACTAAAAAGACTCGATCACACCTGTTGCCAATTTGCTACTGGGTTTGTCTTGTTTAAGAGAGATCACGTGGTTCGAATTGTTTATTGGGTATTTCAAGTACAAAGTTTACAGTAACCTATATGATAGTATATTGATTACACTCATTATGTGAAAATTGCTCTCAATTAAATAATCAAAAGCAACATATTTTACCAAACAACCGTATTATGAGTCTTTATGACTTCTCACAGACTTGCATTAATTACTTATGTTACACTGAGTTCAGGGCTCTTTTACACAAGTTCTTGATATCATGGAATCGAAACCAAACACAGATGCGTTGCTTACATAGTAGTAACAGGAACAATTAGATATTGGGAGACTGGATATAATAAAAGATGAAGGATATGCCGCTGTCCCGGAAGAATTTTCTTCATTGTCACATCTTTTACAAGTTTCTGCGCTATTTAAAGGGCTTTTTTAATGATATGAAATCACAATTGGCAGGGTCCTCCTGATAAAGTCTGACAACTACTGCAACTAAACACCATACACCATTGCCCCTCGAGATATATTACTAGCTCCATCGGACATTCAAGTCCGGCTATGGGCCTGCACGGTGCTGACACGATTCGCTTCCACGATTTTCTACTGTATCTATACTGTACCGTACACCGCACCAGGCCCCACACGTCGTTTATTTGCGACGCTAGCCTATTCGTTTTCAATTTCCATCTGTTTTAATATTACACAACCTGCAATATTCTGGATACTGACATATGTAATTCATCATATCTAGCCTCTATCACCAATTCTGCCTTTGTTTGAGCACAGCTGCGACGAGTCATCTGAGACAGGAAAGATTTGGGTGTCAGAGATTAATAATTATTGAAACGTTATGTCATTCGGCCTTTGTTGTTTACCCAGCTGCTGGAAACGCTGTCAGTCATTCCGTTCTGAAATGCGTGAACCAACCTTAATAATTAACAATATCGGAAAATTGCCTGTGATTATAATGAAATAAATCTTTTGACATTAGATTTCAGGTCATAAGGTCAATGTATATACATATATAATTAGTTGTCCCAGTTTCATACAGATTGTGCTATTATTATATTATTTCTCTGTTAGTTTTAGAAGGAGCTTGAGGTAGGTCGATGCTTAAGTTTTTTTTAATTTTTTTCAATATTTTTGAAGAGAATTTAATTGGAATATCAGCCTCAAAACAGCACTGTTAGAGCCTTGTCAAGAGTTTCGACGACCGGCTGTGTGCACAGAGGAGACCAAAAAATCTCCAGTTTTCCTCTATGCCGATAATCACGTGCGGCACATGCAATTAAATGAATCTTATTGGATAATGATTCTCTGACTTGCAAACGATAAAACAATCAACGGCGAATATCAAACTGGTTTGATTTTATAAATCCTGTCGGCAATGCTATGGTCTTGTCTTGTCAGCGACAAAAGTCGGCGAACAAGACTATTCATGTTTCATCAACGCAAAGGCATTCTAAGATAAATAGTAATATTTTTTGGGCTGATATTCCAATTCTCATAAAAAAAAATGGAAAAAATTCAATAAAAATTTTAATTTTAATTTTCAATATTAGTTTAATACAATTGCACATTCATGCTTCGGGTAAGTCAGGTATTTCAGTTAAAGGTTACTTTGAAATTTACGGGGTGCTTGAAATGAGGTGCTTGATAGTCTTGCCAAATGTTTTGGAACAATTGTAAACCCCTGGCCTAAGTGTTCTTTGATAACATCAATAGTTTATGTATAGTTTCGTTTTGACGTTTAAATATCGCATGTCAATTTTTGCGATCGACAATTGCTGTGGCGCTCTGCCGCGTCGCAGCCGACTCATTCATTTCATTAAAACATTTACTCGCGGCTACTGCAAGTTCCGCAAGTCCGCCCGAGATGCATTTGACCCTTACATTTAAAATTTTAATACGCTCGTACCAATTGAAAACATATTCTTAGTTATAATATATAGAGATTTCCGCTATAACGATTAACGAACCAGATATGACCATATTGGTCCTGTAAACTTCTAATTTGGTATTTCAGATGACCTTTTCTTAAAACACATTTTCGTGCGAAAAAGTTTCTTTTGTAGAATACTGCCAACAAAATGAAGTGTTTGTTAGTTTTAAGTTTGGTTATAATAGCCACTATTGTAATCGAACCAGTTGTGTCATCGTGTTATTTTGGCTCTCTCAATCTTAAGGTAGAAGGTAAGTAAAATGGAGTTGATCTCCACTTTTCTGTTGGAAAATAACTGATTTGTCCGTTAAGGAGCATATTCAGTTCTAAAAGCTCTATCGGTCGTCGAAATCAAGTCCCATCCGTTTTATTTTTTTTGGCTAATCAGCTGACGCCTCACATGTGGCGTCAAGGTTTCAATACTCCATAGAATCTGACCAATTAACATAAGCTACCTGAGATAATATCCTGAACATGACAATCAATTTTGTCATAAACTGATCCTAGGTTATTGCCAAACCGACCGAATAGAAACTGGCATTAAAAAAATCCGAAGGTATCATCTCAACTATTACAGGGATTGACCCATGGACCTTCAGACTAACAGGCAAACGGATTTCAAACGTCCCTTCCTAGTGGAGGACAAAATTTACCCTCGACGGTTTATTCATCAGGCTAAGGACAAGCGTTCTGTGGATAATCGTCATACTCTTGCTTAAGGACCGGCGTCCTTACAGGATCCCAAACACGTAAGTTGTTATCCTTTTCATAAAATGTGGCTGTTCCTGTCTTTCATAGATAATGGTGATATAGACCAATACTGTGACGGACCAAAAGGACGAATGGAAGTCGGAGATACCGTAAGACATGCTTGTACTGATTGTAGCTGTACTAAAAATGGTTTATCATGTTGTGGGTGAGTATCTATCTTATTAAAACTTATTATCTTCCGTTATTTTTTGTTTTCTTATATTCAATCATTCCAATTGTTATCTAACAAGCTTTCTACCACATTTGCTATAATATACTGTACTATAGTATAGGGACTATAATGTGCACGTATCTAAAATTTGACGACGCACCTTTTGTGCTCAAGTTTTAGCCAAATTGCATCATACTTTGAAATTGCATATCAAATGCGTTTGGAATCACCGAAATGCATTTTCCGGGATGCATCTTAACCACAGAAGATACTTTTCGTAGATGAACGTTTTGATGGAGATTTCGTGTTTCCGTGCCTTCGCGGTGCCGAACTACGACCTCCCTACCTCGACACAAAATTCGGGCCCCGGCACCAATTTACTTCTGGCGACGGGGATGATTGCTTAACTTGTCCCTAAGAAATAGGTGCAACCATCACATTTTTTAATAATTGGCTGTCAAATATTGAACGATAATATATTATAAATGGTAACGATATATTACAATAAAATTGAGTAAAATGTTATAATTATAATGTGGTCGTATATTGTCTTTTTGATACAATTTGAGAAAGGTTGGCGACCGCCCTTGACACATTGAAAGTTCTTCAGGGTGTGGGTGTATTTTGAAAGGCAACCACTTGTTACTTTGAAAGGTCGCAATCTTATGCCGGTTTCTGGAATGGGGTAGTTGCTTGGAAAAAGTCGGGAACCCCGGTTTTAACATCTATTAAATTACCTTTACGATGACAGTAAAGAAGTGTTGGGTATCATCGTAACCTTGTTGACCAGAATGACCACTGTCAAAATAGTTCACTGCCATTTTGGGATTATCAATTCCGTTTTCTTTAGCTAGAATTCTATCTGCTAAAATGTTTTCGTTATTTTTTTCAGAGTTGGATACAAAGCAGGATCTTTCAAATTCAAAGGATGTGAAATGAGAAGGGAAACTGACACATGCTGTTACCAATTCTTTAAAACTGATAACCCAAATGAATCATGTACAGAGAAATCTTGTCCCTCTACTTAAATATTAAAATAAAACTCGTTTAAAATTTCAATTGTTGTTTATTCGCGATTTCAGTAATAGGGTGTAGTAGATAACCATGTACATGTACGGGAAGTTTTGTACATGAAATGAAATTTTACGCCACAATTCTCTGCTTCGGGGCAAAGAAAAACGGACTTCTTTTTTGTAGATTTGCAACAAAGATTTTTGACCTCCGCGGTCTGTAGCACAGTTCGTAATAACTTGACATTGCTAATAAAGATGAAGAACAGGATTCCTCTTTTTCCACGTCAGTACATCATATCGACATGACTCACAGTGGTGTGTGAGCTATGAAAGATTATTATTTTAATAATGTGAAATCACAATGGGCAATGCCCTCCTGAAAAAAGTCTGACAACCGACCAATTCCATTACTGCAACTAAGCACACTTGCAACTCTAAACAAATCAAGTCTGGTTACGGGCCTGCACGGTGCGAACACGATTTGCTTCTACTATTTTCAACTGTATTTTTACTGCACCGCACGCACCCCGTACGTCGTCTGTTTGTGGCATTGGCTTAATCGTTTTCGATTTCAATCTGATGATCAATATTAATATTACACACAACCTGCAATATTCTGCATACTGACATATTATATAATTCGTCACGTTTAGCCTCTATCACCAAGTCCTACCACAAAGCTGCGACAAGGTATCTAAGACAGGAAAAATCTGGATGTCAGAGACTACTTTTATTAAAACGTTACGACATTCAAACTATAGTTGTTTGCCCAGCTGCTTGGCTGTCAGTCACTCCTTTCTGAAATGCGTGGACCAGCTTTAATAAACAATATCAGAAAAAATGTCTGTGATTATAATGTAATAAATCTTATGAAATTAAATTTCAGGTCATAGGGTCAATATAAAGTATATATATATAATAAATTTCATGCAATTTCATGCAGATTGCGCCATTATATTATTTATCTTTGTGTCTTAGCAGGAGCTTGAGGTAGGTCAATGCTTGGATTCTTTAAATTCAGGAAAGCAAAAAAGTTTCTAAAATTTTTTTCAACATTTTTTGTAAAAGAATTGGAATATCTGTCTCAGAATAGTATTGTCTTTACGTTGATTTTTTAATTTCTATAAACATGTACCTCCACAGGTTTTATAAAAAATAGCTTACTGGGCAAGGTAATATATATCCACTGGCAGCTTTGATTTAAAATTAAGATATTTGGCAGTACAGTGACAATCATCAGTATAGCTTTAGGAGTGAACAATATTACCAAAACTACCCCAAAAATTGAACGAGTTTTCAAGAACAAGGACAAGAACTCATATGAACTATTTTTCTGATTTTGAATAGGGTTCATTCTAGGGTGTTTACTCACACTAAGTTTCGTCAAAATCCGTCAAGAACTGTGACTTCTAGATTGTTTACGAGTAATTGTGGACGAACCGACGAACGGACAAGGGTGACGCAATTTCATGAGTGTTATAACATATCATGAGAGATAACGACGCAGATCTTAAATTAACGGACCATGTCCTAATATGCCCATATTGGTTCTATTAATTTGGTATTCCAAATGACCTTTTGTCAAAACACATTTCCATACGAAATAGTTTCTTTTGTAGAATATCGCCATCACAATGAAGTGTTTGTTTGTTTTAAGTTCGGTTATAATAGCCACTATTCTAATCCAACCAGTTGCCTCATCGTGTACTGCTGGTCCTATCAATCTTAATGTAGACAGTAAGTAAAATGGAATTTTACCTCCCCTTTTCTATCGGAAAACGCTTTTTTACCTGCATAACCAACAGGGGAATGGAAAACCTTTCTGTCCGAGCATCTTCGGTTCGGACAGATTGCTGGTCGTTGAAATGATTCCGCCTTGACGTCACATTTTATTTTTGCCAATCGCTTCACATTTGGTGTAAAGTCTACAATCCTACATGGAATCTGGGTTAGCCAATTGAATATAACATAAGCTGACTTGAGCTAATATAATGGGCAAGTCGCACAATCTAGTTTATTGTCCATCCGACCGACTAGATGTGTTTTTAAATGTCTGTCACTCAGCATCACCAACAGCGAGGAGCTGGAATGAAAGAAAAACGATAGTCATCTCGACTATTACCGAGCTTGATCCATAGACCTTCAGGTTAACGAGCAATCGTCCAACTCCCTGAGCCACTGCGGATCTCAACCGCACCATCGAGGTGATCGGGAAAAAAAATTACCCACGAAGGTTTTTTTCATTTAGCCTCAGAACAATGTGCTGGCCATTTCCCTTTAGCAACGGTACGATGGTGTGGATAGTCGTCGTACCGTAGCTTAGGGACAAGCGTCTTAACAGGTTCCCACACACCCACGTTGTTATCCTTTTCCTACTTTCATAGATAATGGTAAAATAGACCAATACTGTGACGGACCAAACGGACGAATGGAAGTCGGCGAAACCTTAAGACATGATTGTACTGATTGTAGCTGTACTAAAAATGGTTTATCATGTTGTGGGTGAGTACCAATCTTATAGATTCTAATTTCGTTTCTTTTTGTTTTCTGATTTTTCTTTTTCGTCCTAGAGAAAGTCTTATTGTTTACAGTTTTTCTGTCGGAGACTTTCGATAAGCTATATTCACTAACGTACAAACCAATCCAACCAAATCGCTACATTTACAAATTAATACAAGAAAAGTGGCTATGGTAGTGAAGGTATAAGTCAAAGTTCGTTATAGATTGACCTTGTGAATATATATTCACCCTGCTTTTGAGATTGTTAACTCCATATTCCGTGATGGATGACAGTGGTGCTGAAATGGAAATGGCGTCTGGTCGTTCAGATGGGACAATAAACTGATCCCCGTGTGCAATAGGCTGTGTACGTTAATATTACCTCGACAGTTGGAAATGTAAAACGTGTAGGCTTATCCTGTTGTCCTGATAAAATTTCTTTTATTCCTAACTACATCTCGGTACCCGTCTTCATAAGCCCAATTATGCAGATGCAGAATAAAAAACACGTTCATTTCATTTTATTTTTTCTATTCAGAGTTGGATACAGAGGAGGAGCTTTTCACGTCGAAGGATGCGAAATGAAAAGTGAAACTGACACATGCTGTTACCAATTCTTTAAAACTGATAACCCAAATGAATCATGTACAGAGAAATCTTGTCCTAATTAAAATATTAAAATAAATTCCGTTAAAACTTTTAATTGTTGTTTATTCGCGATTGCAGTAATTGGGTACAATAGATAACCATATACAGTGTGCAATACGGGAAGTTTTGACATGAAATGGAGTTATACGTCACAATTGTCTGCTTCAGATTTGGCAAAGAAATACGGACTTATTTTTTGTCGATTTTCAACAATTCTAAAACTATAATTAATAAATATTGAGAGATTGAAAATAACGCGTTAATTTTAAGCCCATTATCCCATATTGCGATATGGTACCGTGACCCTTGTATCACGATACGTAGCGTATCGTCACGTGATTGGCAATACTCAGCTCTACTTTGAAGATAAAACATTAATTTTAAGCGCATTACCGCATATCGTATCGTGACCCCTGTATCGCGGTACGTATGTATCCTAGCATGATTGGCAATACACAGCACTACTTCCAGCCAGTAAGTCAATTCTCACTCACTACACGCTTTGATTTTAGCCTTAAGGATTCCCTCATGTCCATGTCAGTCGGTTTTCCTAAGTATTGAGCAGCAGATGGTTCAGCCTATTCATTCCCTTCGGCCACATGGGGGTGTTAAATTTGGATAATCATTAATCTGTATTCCGGCATACATTAGGTGTAAGACCATCGTTTTCAGAATGTGTAGATTTCCCCCTGCTCAGTACCATCAAGCTATTTAAATTTGGATATCGATGACAATGTCCAATATTGTGATAATATACTAATTAATAATCATATCACATCAATTGGTTGTCCAAATTATAATAATTTAACTGAAATATTACTGTAAAGAAATAAAAAACAGTTATTCGTTTCAAAAAATATTCATGTGCTGTCATTCCCAAATTCAAGCACAGCCTTTAGCAGCTTTAGTCTCGATTTGTAGATCTTTCTGACCCAATTCGTTTCGGAATTCGGAATTTTACACCCACCGATGTTGACTATTAAGGTAAAGCATCGTTTCCGCAATACGTTTCCTGAAGATAGTGACCAATAATGGGATAGCGAAACCTACAAGTAGATCAATATGACAGCCACCTCGCAAGCGATTTTCCAGAATACGTCACTGTCATCACCAAACGGCCAAAAAGGTTCTGCTTGTGACGCCTTGATTGGTTAAAAATAATTTCATTTGAATGGGATTGAGGCGGACAACTTGATAGATTACAAGAGAGACGTAAATTATCAGAATAGCAATTCTAATCTGATCTGCGTTAGATTGGAGTCGCAAAGAATTTATTTTACTGACATTGTGTAATGATTATTTTTCGTGGTTTGTTTTGACGTTTTTCTGTCATTGTGTCAGTTTTCATTCAAAAGATAATTTGACAGATATGACTTTGACTTGAAATTAAAAGAATGACTTCTCTAAAAGAGAATGATACGAAAGGGATTTCTATAATGAAACTTGAAACCACTCGTCAGATCCACATGGCACATGGGTCATTGAATATCAGAATCCATCCTATATAATAAAGTCATCAAATATATTTTTAATCATTGTAAAGAAAATCTAGTGATACATAGATACGGCGTAAGTATAAAGTATAAATTTTTAATTAGCTTTAAAAAATTTTTTTAGACAGACCTGATGATATCGAAAATAGGTGATCTAGATGATAAGCTAGGATTCAGGTGGACTTTTGGATTTTCAACAACTGATAGCAGCTATTTGTACACATGAGGGTCGTATCAATCGGTAGACCTGAATGTTAAAATCGCAGTTGTCGCTGACAGTGTAAATAAGCGTTCGGATTCTGCGACCATTCTATTGATCGAAGTTTTGTAAATGCAACGATTTGATTAGATTGTACGCCAGCGAATACATCTAAAGTATATTATCAATAAGCCATGATGTTTACAAGATGTCCAGGGCTATGATTGGCTTTATTTGCTGGCGTACAATCCAATCAAATCGTTGCTTTTCGTGATACTAGAAAGGTGTTCAATGTATAGCCTGACATTGTAAAGACTACCTTAGCGTGCTCGTAGAGTTACAAAGATACAACAGTAAATATTTTATAAGTACATAGTTTCCCGATATCAGTATTTAATTATTTGGTTGATCACGAAACATGATCTATGCTATTGTCAGAAAGTGGCGGTATTCGCCAGATGGTTCATGACAAAATTATGTTTGTTCTTAATGTTCCAGATCAAGATGTTGAAGCTTATAACGGCTGCCCTGTTTGTGGTAATGGTAATTTTTACAACTAATGGCTTTGTGTTTATAGAGCCTGTAAAAGAAGAATATAAAGTCTTTGGTCAGTATGGTATTCTTACTGTAGTAACTCTTCCACTTCTTAGTGCATCAGGCCCGTAGCTACAGGGCGACAAAATGGATTGCCCTGTCTGAGAAATTCTGACAACCGACCAATTCCATTACTGCAACTAAACACCATACACCATTCCCCCTCCGGATATATTGTTACTTGCCCCGCCGAACATTCAACTACGGGCCTGCATACAATTAACCAAGGTCATAGTTCACTATTTTCGGAGATTGATTTGTGCCTCGAATATATATATATACATTCTTCGAGACATGTATGATGTATGACAAATAATTCCTTAATTTTCATTTTTTATTGACCTCCGAATATGGTGAACTTGTCAAAGTCATTTGTCATTTGTAACTTTAATTTTCACCAATATATTATTACCACTCACAAGCGAATTTCATTTCTAAGTTATAAAATATTGTGAATTTAAATTTTCAGTTATAAAATATTACGAATTTCAATTTTCAGTAATAAAATATTACGAATTTCGTTTTTCAGTTATAAAATATTACGAATTTCATTTTTCAGTTATAAAATATTACGAATTTCATTTTTCAGTTATAAAATATTACGAATTTCATTTTTCAGTTATGAAATATTGTGAATATGACAACAAGAGATTTGAAACAGGAGAAAAATTAACTGTAAATTGTACTAAGTGTGATTGTGGAACTGATTACATGTTTTGCCAAGGGTATGTTCAATTTGAGTTTGTCTCAGAAAGAAAATCCCCACCGTAAACTGACCTCAATATTTCTTTCCTGCATCTCACCTTGGCAGTGACCTTTTTGACCTAGTTCCTTATTTTCTAATGATGTCATAGTCTTTCCATACTCAAGGATGGGAAGATGATACAACATTGGCTCTGAAATGTGGTCATTTTGACCGCTCAACGCTACATACCGTTCGCACGCGGATCAGATTGAATTCCGTTTCAGTTGGGAAAATCTCCACATGTAGCATGTATTTCTAGGGCTATTATCAGTTGAAATTTACAAATTTTCAGTCAGTTTTATCGTCATTAAACTATTTCAGAATTGGTTATGATGCAGGAGCCATGATGGTGCCCAATTGTACCCAGGTTAAATTAGACAACTGTTGTTACCAGTTTGTTCTCAGTGATAATCCAGCGGTAAATTGCACCGATGTAATGTGCCCTTAACTAGTCAAATAGTAAATGTATTCATGAAAATTTAATAATAATAAAGTGAAAAACTATTGTTATCGACTTTTTTCCCGTATTTATCTTGACATTAAGTAGCTAGGATAGTCTCTGACAACCAATCTACACAAGATACGCATGATACTACGTCTTCATCTTATACCTTGACTACAATGGCCAACTTTCTTTTTTATAAGAAGATTTGAATGC